TTTGTGTACCATTAAAGAATTTATAGCAGTAAATGAAACCCTCGTTGCATCAGACACGTGCACATTCACTCTGTGATTGTCACCATCTGCCTCCCCACGTGAGAACACCACCGGCACACTCTCGGGAGCACAGCCTTGCTCCTCACAGCGCTCGTGTCAGACTCAGCATTACCTCACGCCCATTAGCTCACGCCCATTAGCTCATGGCTCTGGGGATGGTGATCTCATCTTAGAAGGATAAAAAACATTATCCTCCAGGGGCAATGTTAATGCTCTGAATGATGACAGAGTTTAAGTTCTTAGAGCATTTTCATTTGACAAAGCATAAATAGGAAAATACACAAGAGGGGTTTGAAACATATACCCGGGCATAGCAGTGACGTACCACTGCCTGTGTTTTACTGTGCTGATGTCTGTGATGGTGCCCGTCAATTCAGGGTGCTGACGGCAACGCATACGATTTCTGAGCACGGATCAGGTCCCAGAGAAGGTCTAAGCACACAGTTGAAATGAGACATCAAGCGGAACTTGGGTCTTAGAATCTCCTCTAGCTCCTAGATCCCTTTACACTTGGCTCTGAAGCTACAGAGGTCAGAACTTCAAAACTTAATGCAATAATAAATAAAGTAGAACAAATTATCTATAGAGTTGAGGCAAAGGAATAAAAAGTAATTTCTAAAACTGAAATTTCAAAATGAAGTTATACGGTATTAAAATTTTGATTAAAAAAAAAATAACCCCTGGTATTGACAATGAGTACTTTGAAAGCGTGAGGATGGCAGAGGTTCCAAACTGAGACATTCAGTTATCGCGGCCCGTTTGAGAGTGAGTCCTACCCGGTCAGCCTGCCACCCGCCAGGTCTGTTCCGGGTGCCCGGTCCGTCCCCTGATCTCACAACGAGGCGTGAGGACTAGCACTGCTCCTCTCTGCATCCCCTCCACCAACACGAACACCTTCAACAATGTATGTGGTTTACCAAAATGGGTAAAAAAAAAATCACAACGCCACATGTGACTTGAGTGTTGGGTACAAAGTGTTATACGAGAACAGCTGCTTTTACTGCAGGCTTCTATGGGCAAAAGGGACTTCAACGTATTATTTATCTATGTGTTCCTGGTCAGTCCTCCCAGCCACGCCGAGGCACGATGACCCCCACTGCGCAGTCCAGTGGACTGAGGCTTAGCGCAGTTGAGCAACTTTCAGGTGGTGGGATCTGTTGGCATGAGAGGGCAGACCCCCACCCTTGTACACAGCTTAGGAATGCACTGAAAAGGAGACAAATACCCATAACCTGGAAGAAGCTCTAATGAAGATGAGACAAGGAGCCCGGGCTGGGCGCCTCGGTTGGTGAGAGTGTCAGTCTGCACACCAAAAGGTGGTGGGCTTGATCTCCTGTCTGCACACACACGGGAGGTGACTGATTGGTGTTTCTCTCTCACATCAATGTTTCTCTCTATTTCTCTCTCCCTTCCTCTCTAAAATCAATACATATACACACACATATATATATACATATATATTTTTTTTTTTCCTTGGGTGAGGAAAAATGACTGCAGAAATAGTCTAAAGTAGGTTTACCCTAACCCATGAGGAAAATAAAACCGATGGTCATGGTGTTTTTGATGCCTCTGGGTAAGTTTCTTCTAAAAGTGAAATGAATTTCTTTGGGACTTATAAGAAGCACCAAAACTGGATATTGTCCCTGGACCTGGTAAAGCTGATCTTTTAATATTTATTTTGTAATTCAGGTGAAAACACACTGCTGGCAAATAAAATTAAATACAAGAGAATTAAGTTCTGTTGTTCCATAGAAACACAAACCAAAAAGACAGACTGGAGTGCTGGCCACCATTCAAAGCCGTAAGCCTCTCTTGGGTCTGCCTTCCCCTCTCCTGCCGTCCTAAGTTAGAATCCCTGGGAGGACAAAAGGAGAAGCGGGAAAGTCTCTGCAGACCTAAATCTTCGGTAGGATACGTGGGTGGTGAAGACTCTTGGATATATTTTCTAAAAATCAGATAACCTGTAAGGCCACATCCCACCACTGAGACAGGTTCAGGTTGGCAACCACCTGCCTGATTAGGTAACTCCTGCCTGCTAGAGAAGGTTTGAAACCGAGAAAAGTCAGTGCCAGCAGCATTGACTCATTTGTCCCAGAATACTTTGCTGAACGCCAACTGTGTGCAGGGCATGGTGGTAAACCCCGAGTGTATCCAGTAATGAAAGAGACAAAGACCCTATCGCTGCAGGAGACTTACACCAACACTTGCTGGTCCTCAGAAGTTCCTCAACTGGGCAAGTCTGTATCAGATGACATTATCTTATCTGTCATCCTACTCTACCTTAAAGCAAAAGCTCTGCTGGCAATTGGAAGGCAAGAACAAAACAGGAAGAGAAGATGACATTGCACAGAAACTTACAAAGCGTTGCCACAGACATCCCAATTTGTACTTAAAACAACCTCATGACGTAAGTATATTACTTCTGCCTACTTTTGGACCAGCTAGTAAGTGCAACCCTTGGCACTTGACCTCAGGCCACTTGACTTCCCCTCTATTAACATTTACACCCATTAAATGTGCACAAAACAGTATCTAACAGTCTACGCAGTCCTCTGTCTTCTTCCAGGCCCACAAACACCAGTGCTTCCCATCTTTGAGGCAGAGCTTAAAAAAGTATCCAATACAGGACACCAGAACCAATGTAATGCCATTCATGAAAATAAAGACTGCTTTCCAGCATTAGAAGCGGGGAGAAGCAGTAGGAGTTGTGCTAAATTAGGTTTGAAAGCAAAAGGGCAAGGAAGTATTGTAAGTGTCTATATCAGATAAGAAGCCAGTCTTTTAAAATGGCAGGAGGCAAGGCCTTTTTTCAGGATATCGAAAGCAAATCTGATTTAATTAGGTACAGGGTTTCATCTCTCTCTCTCCTTTTTTTTTTTTACGGTGAACAGGTTTTCTTGCCAAACTCCAATAAATTGTTCATTCATTAAAACACATTGTGTCTTTCAACAGCCTTCTTTTGCAAAAGAGCAAAGCAAAACCAAGGCTGACACATCAGGCTGTGAGCGCAATGATTCAAGCTTTACATTTCATTCTTAGAGATCGAGTCCGTACCACACTTTGCTTTGTGCCTACTAGTTACTACTATCTGGCACTCTGCGGCTACAGCAACTTCCTGTTTCGCCTCTAACCATTCCATGCTAAACCAGACCTTTTAATTACAACTTGCTAAGTAATCCTAAAACAGCTGTATTTTTTCTGGACAGGGCATACTTACTGAAAAGCATCATTTTGTTGTGTGGGCATTCATTTGTGCCGGGACCTGGGGTAGGGAAAGACAGCAAGGAGCAAGAGAAGGAGATACACAGTCCCTCACGGAATTTGCTGACAGGCTGGTAGGGAAGACAGCGTACAAGCAATTGCATACGATATGACTCCCCCCACCCCTTAGGAAACGACACATACAAAAGCAACATGTAATAGGAAAGCTCAGCCCTTAACTGTTTAATGAGAACAGAAACATAAGGTGAAGTTCATCAAGCAAATGTGATGTGATGTGATGGAGGGAGGGCGGGAGTGCAAGAGCGTTTCGGGCACAGAACCGGTGTGAGAAGATCCCCATGGCTGTGTAGAAATTGAAAAGATGCTGTAACGAAAGACAAGGCAGGGGAGGGGTCCCCGGAGCCAACCAACCTGTGCTTGGCTTTGTCAACTGCATGAAGGGACTGGGTTTATCACACGGGCAGAGAAACAGCTTTCTAGATTTTTATTTGGGAAAGATCTCGCAGCCTGTGCTGCCCAGGATGGACTAGTGAGGGGCTGAGGGGCTGGAAGTATGGAGACCACTGAGGAGGCTGCTGTAGCCAAAGTGAGAGCCTACACTGGCTTAAGTCAGTGATGGAGAGAAATGGACAGCTCTAGTGGACATTTAGGAGGTCAAGGAGGCTTGGTGGCTAACTGGGGAAAGAGCTGGGAGACCCTTGAGATGGTTTTTGGTCTATTGGCTTGGGTATCACAAGGAAAGCAGCAGCTGCCTGGAGAGCAAGACACACTGAAAAGAGAGTGACCAGGGTGAGAAAGGCACCCTTATTCAACATGGCCTGGGTGGGGGCGGGGGGGGGGTGATTTCAAAGCCGCTCCCAGGTGACATTAGCCTTGGATATACAGTCACCAGTATGAGCTGGGAGGATTCCCGAAATTCGACAAGCAACTGGAATTTAAGGCTTCAAAATTACTTCTCTGGAAAACTGAGTCACACACACAGTCAACGCAGGAAGATCTAAGCCAGAGTAGGTAGGAGTCAGCGTAGCCCGAGTCAGAGCAGGTAGCAAAGACCGAACTCTTCCAATCAGCCCCGAGGGCCAGCGCCCCAAGGACAGCACCACACCTGCCTCCAGCTGCCCTCCGGGCGTTGTTTCTGGCCGCCGGTCTTCCACTCCGCCCTTCCCGATCCACACCTCGGTTCGTGGTCCTGGCCCCGCGTAACTTCCCAAGCATCCGCTGCCCGGCGCTCCCGGGCCCGGCCTCCGGAGGGCTCCGCGACCCGGGTCCAGCCTCCTGCTAACCGGGCCCCGGCGCCCCCGCCTGGCCCTCCTCCCACCTCTCTACCCCTCACCACGGGCCTGGAAGCTCTCGGCTCGACCTCTCTATCATCTGTCCCGTCTCCCGTTCCCCAGGTTCGGCATCTCCAGCCGGATCTCTGCTGTCCAGCCTCCACATCCACGGACTGCCCCCCACCCCGCGCCCCGCCGCCCCGCCGGCGCCCTCCTCGGCCGGGACTCCCGCTCCGAGCGGGCTTCAGTGCAAGTCCTCGCACCCATCGTCGTGGCAAAAACAAAGGATCCGCTGCCCGGACCGTGCCCATCCCCTCGGTCAGCCCGGAGCAGCTGCAGGCGCGAGCAGGTCCCAGCTGTGGGCGCCGGGCTTGCAAAGATGGAAGGAGCGGGGCCAGAGCTGACGGCCCCGCAGCGAGAAGGAGCGAGGGCAGCACTCACCTCACAGCAGCTACACAGCAGCCACCGTCTCGCCCAGCTCCGCGGCTCCAGCGTTTCTGCGCTCCTGCAGCGACGACTCGACTAATCTCGGGAAGGCCCCGCCCCCTCGGCGCAGCTCAAGCGGCGCTGACGCGTCACCGCGGGCCTGGCCCCGCCCACTCCCTCCAGGGCCCGCGCGCTCCCGCCTTTTTGCCTGGACGCTCCGCCCCTGATCCCCGACTCCCGCCAGCCGAGGAGGACTCTGCGCCTTCCCCGCCCTCGGAGCGGTCTCGCGGAGGTAAACCGAGGGGGACCTAGGGCCGCGTCGGGCCCTGCGGGTACAGGGAAGGGAGTCAGGGCGGGCTCGACGCCCAGTCCCAACTCCGGCAGAGGAGGAGCGGGCTGCCACCCACCCTGGCACTGTCTGCTTCCCCTCCGGCGTCCTTGAGCTGCTCCTATGCGCCCTCGTCGGCTGCTCCACTGCGCCCCCGCCGGCTGCCCCACTGCGCCCCCGCCCGGGCCCCGCCTGCGGAACTCCTTCCCGACCTGCGCAAACCGGGAGTTGCGTTCGCCGAAGAACGTGCCCGCGCAGTGGACAACGGAGTGCTGCATCGATTTCAAGGGGCGCAGGACACCCTGACAAATCAGGGGCCCCCTGTTAAGAACTGGCGGGCCCCCGGCACTGGTGCCTGTGCCGGCGTAAACCAGGGGCTACGTTTTGCACATAAATTCACGTCGATAATTGCCTATGTGGCTGCCAGTTGTTGAGTGCTGCTCTGTGTGCTCTTACATTTTCACACATTTTCTGATTTGATCCTTCCAAACAGCCCCTGGAGGTGGGAATTCCAGCCCCTTACCTGGGCTTAAAAAGGGTAAGGGGTTTGCTTTTGATGAAAGGAGAAGTTCCACGAGTTAAACTCGGGTCTCAGGAATACAATTTAGGCCTTTCTTAATTACACCTCCCCCGCCCCCCCCCCCCCCACCGCACCGCCCCAACCTGAGAGAGGACCGATGTTTGGCAGTCCTGTTTTGGCTGCAGTAAACCTGGCGCTAGGACCCCCAGCAGGGTCAGCCTGCGGTTGTTTTTCAGGAAGGGCCTGGCGTGCCACCCCACTGTGCGCCCGAACCCCTCCCGCGCTCACCTTTCTTACCCAGCGACGCCCCCGTAGAGCAGCAGCAGGAATTTTCTGTTATCCCGCGAATTATACCAATTCACTTGGTTTACAGAAACTTTACGACAGACAGTTGGCTAGAGGCATTGTCTTCTGAGTCAGTAACTTCTTTTTTTTGTATGTAATTATTACATTTATTGGGGTGACATTAGTTAACAGGATCGTATAGATTTCAAGCGGTGATTTCTACGGCGCTAGATCAGCACTGCACCGTGTGCCCACCACCTGACACAGGCCATCGTCCGTCACCGTGTGGTAGAAGTCTCTTTGCATAGGGGGTCTCACAGGTGGCAGAATTTGATTGGCTGGAGAAGGGGAAGAAACTGGGAAAGGCAAGCGGGGCATACCCGGTGAGGGAAGCCCGGGCAGGCGAGGCCTCAGGTGGGTGGCGGGCGCAGGGAGTGTCCTTACCATTCCCGGTGGGCAGAAGGCTGCGCAGCCAGAAATGAACCGGGTAATGGGTGTAGGTCTAGATGCTGGAAGGAGTCTGTGCTCTGGAGGTAAGCCGGCCTGGGGACTGAGTGACGCTCTGAGTCGTCATCCTAGTCCCTGTCAGGAGTTACCAACACACATTTAAGGGAGGTGAGAGCCTGCGGATGGGGGGTCCCCTGGGCACAGTGCAGAGCGGGAACCGCAGGAGGACAGCATGTCTTATCCCTTGGGGTGGACTTTTAGGAAATTTAAATAGGCGTTACTTCTGTTCAAGCTGAGACAGGGGAAGTGAAGTGGGAGGGGAAATACCGAAACTCAGTCAATTCGTTTTAATTTCTGAAGGTGTTCTTCATCTGGAAAGTAAACTTATATAATAATATTTCTGTACATTACTTTTCATCGCATACTTTATTGTGGATAAGTTAGCAGTGGGAGCAATAGCGTAAATGTATGCCAAGAGGCCATAAAAGGGCTTATATTAAGAAAACATCCCCAAATACCAGAACATGCCCTGAACACTGGAGCTAGAACACATCTGTCAGGAAACACACAATACTGGTACATCTATTCTCAGGGCAGAGGGAAGAACTGGAGTTGGGCAATAAGAATTGACTTGTGATTAGAACCCCCTGCCCCCCCCCCAAACAACAACAACAAAAAACTACCCCACAACAAAGAAACCAGGAGAGCCGGGCTAGGGAGAAGCACGGCAAAGGCAGCCTTTAGATCTCCCTGCCAGCCAGTGTCATGGAGCCCGTGTCCCCTGGACCAGCTGTTTCCTGGTACCAGGCCCTCACATGTCATACCCGGGCAAGCCTGGGCATAAGTCTGGGGGAACTCAGGCTGTTTAGCATGTTCCTCTGAGTCATCTCCCCACCTCCCTTCCCACTGTCCCTTCTCCCACTGCAGTCGCCCTGGTTTACAGGAGGCTCGCCTCTTTTCTAGCCTGACCACTTTTAGTTATAAAATCCCTATCAAACATGGTTAAATAAAAGTTTCTGGTGCCGTGGTTAGAAATAAAATAATACAGCTCTTAAAGTCTACGGTTTCGAAATACAACAAATATTTTTCTTTGGAACTTGGAAACTGTTACCCAGAACAGCTATAGTCCCTATGTGAAAAGGTTTTGCTGTACAATTATATAAAAGAAAGACAGAACTCTTTCCCCAGCAGGAATTAAAAGCATTTCTGAAACGGTTCTCCCAGAGGATAGGGATGAAGAATACGAGCTTCCAAAACCGGAATGCCAAGTGCATTCCTGTTCTCCATGGCCTTGGCTTTTGTCCGTCAGCCCTCCTGCTGGAATGGACTGAGCCCCAGTTGTCTCCTGACCCTCCACCCAGCTGTTAGAATCTTCATACTGCAAATAACGAGAGGGCTTACCATCTACTGAGCTTCTCTTTCTACTGCGACGCCATGACTTTCAAGTATGCAACGCTCTCGTGGTCATACCAGTATTTTTACAAAATAAAAAAAAAACATTTCCTGCTCCGTGTCATTGAGTGTGACCACCCACGGGGCTAGGTACTGGAGCCGTAGTTCACATCTGATTGCATTCTGCGTTTATTTGCTTCACAAAGTAATCAATGGGCTCTATTAAATGTTAAATGTCGTAGAAGAAAAGTCAGTTTCGCAATTAGGTTGTCTGAACGTGGGGGATTTTTACAGTGTATGTGAAGCAGATTAAAGCGAATTGAATACTCAGAGTCTAGCAGTAAGGAGCCACATCCCTTTGTATCGAAAAATTAAAGCAGTTTTATTAAAAATTGCTCCAGCTCTTCAACACAATGAAATTGCATTCTTTTATTTGTTTCTTGATATATACTTTATAATTTCCATGTGGATTAGCTGTAACTTTGAGAGAAGAATCTTAGGTCTGTCATGTTTGAAGTTAAATTCGAAATCCATGAATAATGTCTTTTTTTTTTTCCTAACCACGTCATGACATTCCTGCCTTCTCTTAATCTTTTAAGGTGATTCCGTTCTTTTCTTCCAGGGAATATATTATTTACCCATGAGTTTGTGTTGTCGGAGAGCTTTCAGTTAAAATTCAAGAGAATATTTATCAACTTGGTAAGTACAAGTGCTGGAAAGACATTGCCAAAGGTAAATAGGAATTTTACCCTCAAATGCTTTGGTATATATTATTATTTCACTCAAAAAAAAACCACCCACGAATATATGTGTTTTTTACATAGAAACATTAGGACGTAGATAAAAGTAATGAAGAGGGAAACTCTCTCAGTTATGTATTTCTGTGTAAAAACCAGGCCAAACTTACTGGCTTAGTTTTTGGGGGTGTTTTTTCTTACAGTTCTGTGGGTTGAGTGGGCAGGGCCCACCCGAACTCACCTGGGCTGGCTCCTGCATGAGGGACTTCGGTGGTTGCATAACCCAAAATGGCTTAGCTCACATAGCTGATCGCTGGTGCTGCCTGTTAGCTGGGTGCCTTTTATCCTCTAGGAGGCTGGAGCTAACGGTGCGCCAGTTGCAAGGGAGGACTCCAAGATGGCCCAGAGCAAGGCGAAAGCACTCACTCAACCTCCGCTTCGCATCCGTGGATGTGACGTGGCCAAGCCCAGAGTCAGGGTGGGAATGGGCTCAGGTGGCCTCTCTCAAGGAGAAGAATGGCAGAGAGTTTGTGGCCTTTTTGGTCTACAATGGAAACTCCCCGCCCTGCATCCTGCCTTATAAAAACCTTTCCTTTTTCCATTGTAAATAAACCATGATCCCAAGTTGGAAAAGGATTGTCTGGCCTCCTGAACTTGGCATGGCTAATGTGAAAGCATTGCATGCAAACAAAAACATTAGTAAACAAGAGTTCAAATACAGTCCTTCATATGACTGTAAGTCATGTGGCTTACACAAGTCTCACGACTTACCCCAAAATACAGTCATTACATTAACAGACATAAGTAAAGACTTATTTATTCTTTTTTAAAGTCATACTTATGATTCCTGTCGATACCCCAAAGCAAGACTAGCCAATATTGTGATTCCCATTTGCACACTGAGTTATCCTCCCAACTAACAGTCGTGTTGAGAGGTAAGAGCAATGAGCAGAAACAGGAAAGGGCAGCTAAGAGCCGCCCTGGGGAGCCCGGAAGTGAACTCTGCACCCACAAATAATACCACAAGGGTGATGGCCAAGGTAGTAAGTAGCACCAGCTGGGGAAGGTAGCACTTGATGCAAGAAAATGGTTATAATAAAAACCACAATGACACAAAAACACATCTACATGAGGCTTTGTAATTTACACAACCTTTTCATATGTCTTATCCTATTTGTCCTCAAGGCAGCTACATAAAGTATTCAAGAAGATACTGATTTCATTGTGCAGCTGAGTAAGATTCAGGGAGCTTCATTAGCGTGTCCAAAACCATAGCACTATTAGATGGAAGAGCCAGGGTCTAAAGATTTCGAGCACCCAGTTCCGATCTCATTTACCTTAAAACTTCAGGCAAAACGTAAAAGAGAGAGCAGACTAGGAAATGAGTTCTGAAGTTTCACCAAACAAAGTACATTCTGAACAAAGATGCGGATGTCCTTGTTTGTTTTTATAGTAACTGAGATAGAGACCGTACACGGGATAGCATTCCGTCTCCCCATACTTCTGAACCATGAAGAGAAAGTGGGAAGCCAAGCGGAAGCGGATCGAAGAGCAAGCATCGTGTTTCGCGAGGAACCCGCTGCCCTCAGTGTACAGACCCAGGCTGTCCCAGCTGGGAGACCCGGCCCCCGTCTGGGAACTGTTTCCTCGGCAAGCTCAAGCTTTCAATTTTGTTAAAAGCTGTAAAGAGGTAACTTTTTCATCTCCTAAGAAATAGTTTAGAAATTTAAAATTTCTAAAAAAAAAAACAAACCTATGGTTGCTGTTTATTTCAGGCCACGTATCGACCAAAAGAATTTAATTGCAATCTTAGTATCACCTGGTTTAGGAAAAGTATCCCTTGTGAATCATTAGCCATGTAGTTTACGTGAATAGTGAAAAGGGATGATATACCTGGTGCCAGTTAGTTTTAAAACATTTAAACGAAGCAATGCTTCGAAAAGGGCGACCATATTTATGGACTGAAAAAATAATAGAATGAGTTTTTAAGAGTAAAACTAAAACAGTACTCACAGGAATACAAGGACGTGAAGGAGTGGGGTGTGAGATTTGTTAAGCATGAAATTAGGGAATGGAGAATTGAATTTGAACAAAAGGAAGTGAAAATGTGTCCAGTGTCATAGCTTAGCTTTAATAGGCTCCAGGACTTACATCACAGTGCGGAAGCCTGCGTATTCATCTTTCTTTCATCTCCTTTGGTGCTTCGGAGTCGTAGAGTGGGTTTACCTTTAACGGTTTCCGACACATCGAGCAAGTGGGGAGAAGTGCTCGCTACATGCCAGCTACACTCCCAGAGGGCGTAGTGCTCAAAAATAACCAAAAACAGATGTGCATTGCGCATCACTCGGTTTGGGGGCGCTTTGGGGAGCATAAGGACGTACAGTTGACTCTTGAGCAGGTTTGAATTGTGCGGGTTCACTCGTTCCGAGATTGTTTTTCAGTGTACCCTGTAAATATATTTTCTCCCTTTTATAATTTTCCTAATATTGTCTTTCCCTCACTTACCTTATAATTGTAAGAATACGGTACGTACTACCAGCAGCCTCAGATATGGTGCATTCGGTCCTAGACTACCATGGAAAGCGAGCGTTTCAGCGACGCTGCAGTAATCTTTCCCGGTGGTGCAGGGCCTTCCTTGCCTCTGGTTGCAAAGCACACAGCTGTGAAGGGCAACAGGAGTGCCTGTACATGAACGAAATAGGTGTTGATCGGCCGTTTTTGTTATTGGTAAGACCTCTAGTCAACAGTAGTTAAGTTTCGGGGAGTCCAAAGTTATCCAGATTTTCGACTATGTGGGGGTTGACGCCCTGACCCCGCCTTGTTCAAGGGTCAACTGTGTAGTGAAAAGATATAGGTGTGAAATGTAGCACAAATATATTGTGATTCTGATCGTCGACACTATGTACAAACTCGGAAGGGGAGCCTTCGTTGCCTGGTAAGGAGAAACTCAGATCTTATCCGAATGATTTAGGAAATGTGAGAAACACTTCTCGTGCTCATTCCGTGTAAACCAAATTCGGGTGATCGGGAATTAAAATACTGACAGATTCATAAAAGATGTGCAGAGGAGTATGATCAATGGACTTAACCAATCACCAGTCTATAGAATTTGTCGTAAGGCTTTTAATAGGGTTAAGCAACTTCGCCCTCCCTTGATTTCTCACTCATGGAAATGGAGCTTTAGTTCCCGCACAGGGTCAGCAGCTACAGTGAGCTAAGTGGGAGCAGCCCCTCAGGGACAGCAGAGTCAGTCCCTAATCTGAGCATCCCTGTACTGGAGGGAACTCTTTATGGCAGCAGACGCAGACAGTCATATCAAGTTCCACAGCGATTAACTTTAGAAAGATTGGTTTCTCATAGGAAAGACAATTTATAGTGACTTGTTCAAGTTAAGCATTTTGACACTTCCTCTAAGCTTTTAAGATTGACTTACAAATATTCCATTAAAAAAATTGGTTACCACGTGTTTTTATGTGTACTAAACAGTTTGCTAATATTAGCACATTCATTTGTAAAGTTTAGTTTTATAAATAAGTTTAATTTCATACACCAGCCAATAAAATTATAGTAGTCAAACTAGACTGATTGAAAACTGATATTTCTCTGTTTTCTTTTTAATTTGAATATTCTAATTATTTTTGCCTCGAACATATATTACTTGAGTGACTAAAAGTAAGTACAAATAACTATATTTTGATTGCCATAGGTCTAGTGGTTATTACTGTTGTTTTTAGTAATACAAATGTTCAATTTCCAGTGTTTGAAAATGTGAACAGTAAGTTCTTTATGAACATTTAATAGCTATAGTTGATTTTAGATTGTCATTTTATTGACTTTTGAATATTTTTGGTTTTGTAAAGGACGTTCACGTGTTCGCTTTGGAACACGAAGTGGGCGAAGGACAACGCATTTACCTCGTGACCACCTACGTGCAGTTTTGGTTTTATTACAAATCCCGGTGAGTGGTTTGTGAAGGACAGCCCACGGCGGTTACATTTCCTTGGTCCAGGACTGCGTCTGACAGGAAGTCGGGCTGACTTGGCCTTGACGGTTCTCAGGCACGTGAGTGATGGGTCACTGCCCCTTTGCTGTTAGGATTGAACTGTGGCGCTTCCTTGTCGTAGCCGCGTTGGAAGATCTCGCCAGGTGGTGGAAGGAAAAAATCGTGTGTTTTGAGTTTCTGTGCTGCCTCTGCCACGTGATGACACAGTTTCCTCATCGCTCTTCCGTGTTCAGATTTGGGCAGGAAACCGTGCAGACCCCGCTGAGCACAAGCCATCATTTACTTAGTGCGTCAGCACCTGTTCTTACCACCCCTTGGCACAGTCGTGCCTCTGGAAGCTGCAGAATGTACCTGCAAATGTGAGCCCTGACAGCTCTCTCAAGTCTGGTGGGGGCCAAAGGTTGTTAGCTAATGCGTAAAATACTATTTTCCCCATGAAAATGGGTCAATTAAAAATTCTCATTCGGAAGTTCATGGGATCCCAAGAATATGTAATTCTTGGATCCAGTCTGACACAGAAAGTTCTCAAACAAAATTGGCTTCATGGCGGCACCAAAAACAAACATGGAAGTGTGACACAATAGCAAATTCATCAGGGTTCCATTTCTATGACAGCAGTGAATGAATGACAGCGTGAAGGCGGACATGTTTTTCCTGTTCAGTAATGGCACAGAAGGTTATTGTCAGGTCTGTCTGTTGGAAACTCCTAACCCTGTGGTCCGTAAACCTGTGTGAGTAGTTGTCCACTCCACCTTGTCATTGCGTCACGTTTGTGTGTCATTAGAACCGTTAATGCAGCATCTGGAGATACAAGATCAAGTTCTGTGATTTAAAAGGTACACGATATAAACCTAAACAATCATCAACTACTCATTTCAGAAAAAATCTCTTGCACTGCTACGAAGTGATTCCTGAAAATGCCGTTTGCAAGCTCTATTTTGATTTGGAATTTAACAAACTCGCCAATCCAGGAGCGGATGGAAAGAAGATGGTTGCATTACTCATTGAGGTAAATGGCAGACTCGGGGTTTTTTCCTTATATCCATCTCTCTTTTTATTCTTATTCATTAAGTTAATCCGACCCATGTGGTATATAGATTCTGTGTTTCTCTTGCTCCTCCTGCTTTAAGGAGGAAGGTTTCGTTTGTGTTCATATGTTTTGTAATGTTACTATGTCCAGTAAAAAAGAGCTTTGACAAAGGTGGCAGTGGAGGACTTTTCTGTTTTACGTCCTAAGTAAAACGACTTTTACGACTCTGCTAAAGATTAGGCGAAGTAATAGCCGCACTGTAAATACCGAGTTTTTATAGCATGTTACTGTAAAAACTGGGTATTGAGATGAACTATGAGAAAACATTGATTAAAAATAGTATCTGAATTTTTGAGCTGTCGGGAATTTTGGAACTTGTTTTGTCTTGCACCATGCGATACGGTGATTTGTAAGAAATACTCGTATATATTTGATCATTCGGGTAATCAACATGTGTTTCTCACATACATCTGACCCTTGTCCCCAGTCCTTGGTTCACGGCCCCCGACCTTTGGAACTTCCTGGTGTCGAGAGCGAGAGAGCTGGTTTGTTTTGTGAAGGAGGTGGCTTTTGGAAGTACTGCTGCAGGGCCGGGAGTCGGCAAAGCGCACCTGCTGATTATGTTGGGTCTTTACATGCTTTGTTTTCAATTTATTTGAAAACTGTACGCAAATACCGTTTTTTTTTTTAAGTCATGTTATGTGAGTTTTCTTCTGGCTTTGAAGCAGAAGAAATACACATAAGTCCCTCACTCACAAAATAATAACAGCAAAAAGTTAGAGTTTTCTTAAAATAATCATTGGACCCCAAAAATAAATTTAAATGTCTCCTTGGATTACAGTTTAAGTGTATGTGTTATGGAAGTGAGGACTTATTTTATTACAGTTGTTAAAGTGTGAACAAGAGTAAACAAAGCTTAAACAAGATAGAAATTTATTTCGCATGTGGTATCTGGATGTGGCTTCATTTTACTAGAGGCTAGGCTTGTTGCTTTATTATTCCTGAGACAGTGCCCTTTTTCACATTGTTTAGGATGGCTCCTCGCCATCCCTAAGTCCGCATGGTAGTCAGCAGGAGATGGGGAAGGGGCCCCTTGCTGCCTGCCTTTTAAGGTATAACTTAGAAGTTTCCCACTTTCCTTCCTTCTGCTCACATCCCATTGGCCAGAACGTAGTCACGTGGCTGCACCTCACTGCAAGGGAGTCTGGGAAGTATGGTCTTTAATCAGGGTCCCATTTCTACAATAGCAGGAGAGAACAGATAGTGAGCTATAGCCTTGGTGGTACAGAGGAAATGGATGTCAAAATCGTCGCAAATCAGCATGAAATTGTAGCTGTGTAAGCACAACAAGTAGAGAGAAAGTTTATGGGGGGGTTGGACGTCGGTGGGGACGACTTCTCTGAGGAAGTGAGCATTTACTGAAGACAGTAGTAGGGATCCGAGAGCGTGGGGGAGTGTTGCAATGACGCCCAGGCAGCATTAATAAATACCAGTTGTCGCAGAGCTGTTAGGTATGTACGTGCCTGGCAGTCCACACACCTTTAGCCCTGGATGTTCTAGTGTCTTCGTTTTTAGTGACTTCTCTTTGCAGGTGAGAAGGCCGAGGCTTCAGGAGAAGCGGCCTGTCTCCTCGCTGCGCGGCTAATGCTTCTGAGCGGCTACGTGAGCCGGGCGCTGGGCAGACTCTTGGCCCTCACCTTCTCTTTTCCTCCTTAGCACAATCCCGAAAGCTAGGCCCTAGTATTGTCCCCCTTTGCAGTTGAGGAAGGTAAGGTCTGCACTTGACCGAGGTCACAGAGCTGTTCAGTGGCAAAGCCGGAACTCAAACCCAGATCTGTCTGACCCCAGGTCTCGGGCTCCGGACCCGAGGGAAACCAAGGGAGACTTGTTGCCTTCCTGCAGCGCAAAACTGCCTTCGACACCAGCGCCTCCTGGCTGCAGAGGCTGTTTTCTGGGAGGCAGATCTGGGCTCCAGGTGCTCGAGGAACTTTCTGAACACTAGAATGATAAACAATAGGACTAGTGACTTTGTAACTCAGGTGACATTTAAAGAGATGCTTAAAAAGAAATTATTTTTTATTGTGACTTCAGAGGAGATTAATGTGTATGTGAAATTATTCAAATTCTAAGAGGTGTTTAATCCTGAGAGCCTATGGATTTTGAATAAGTAAGACATAATTTAAATATATATAATTTGATACATAAGCAATTTAATAAAATTGTATAATAAATGTTCTGATAGTAAATCAAAATAAAATAGGAGTGAAAAATAAAATTAAATTAAAGAAAATTTAAAAATGAATTATACCAAGATATTTGAATTTTTCTCATGGGAAAATTTTCAAAGAAACTTTGAAATATTATTTATGGGGTACTTGTGTTTTTCAGCATGTTTGTAGAGCACTTCAAGAATTGTACGAGGTTAACTGTTCAGCCAAAGACGTTTTCAACTTAGATTCCAGCACTGACGCCAAGTTCAGCCGCCACCTGATATTCCAGCTCCATGATGTGGCGTTTAAAGATAACATCCACGTTGGTAAGCACGCTGCTTTTTAAACAGTCGTGGAGTTATATTAGAAGCTCATAGTCCCCTTTTCTTCGTAAGTTTTGCAAGTATTTGTTCGGTTTCATGGTTGGTAACCTTTCATAAAAAATAAAATGTGACTGCTCACATTTTTAGGGTCCTATTCACTCCTCCTAGACCGTCTTCTTGTTCTAGAACCCTTTGAGACCCATTCGCCCGCCTGCGGCGTCCCTAGGTGTAGAGGCTGGGGTGGCCGGCGTGCCCTGCTGCTGGCATCTGCGCCCGGAGGAGGAGGAGTCGGTTCGCAGTGCTCTCTCTGGTTGACGCACGAGAGGCCTGACTCAGGTCTTACCTGCGATGCCTCCGACCGACCGGGATTCCGACCTCCGCGGGAGCCTTAGCTTTCAGCGTCTGAGAGCCGGGCTTGGCGCGCAGGCCACATCCGGGCAGGCTTGTCTGCTGCTCCACATCAAGCCCGAGGGTTCGGGAGGAGCCTCCGTGTGTCAGCCTGAAAATGTACTCAGAGTACTTGTTTCGGGATCGGAAATGTAGAGTCCTGGGCGTAAAAGGAAGTCAGTCCAAAGGGAAACAAGTAGGAAGAACAGGAACACCAAAAGCTGGGATTCACGGAAGTCAAAACCCTGGGTGTTTATTGAGCAGGGCCTGAGCACATGTTCCTAAATGCAAACAGCAGCCAGGTCACCGAAGTGCAGGTAACAGGTGATCCATTTCAGAGCCACAGGCCTGACAATCGCAAGGGGCCCGGGGTGAAAGGCGTGGACCTAGTCTCCAAGGGCTGGCGCGGAAGTCAGCAACCCGGTGCACCCTGCGCCCGGGGTTCCTCGTTTCCTCCCCATTTTCCGTTCGCTCAGCTGCGCATCGACCCGACCCCCTGGGCCCTCCCAGCCCTTAGCTGTTGGTGATTGCAGAACCCGTCCTTGCCCCTCTGGCTTCTCCATCCATGACCTCGCTGGCCACCCGCTGTCATGGCTCCAGTTACCATCTCTGTGTCCATGACTGTCCGAACGTCGTCTTCAGCCACGATGACGGTTTTGACACAGACGCACGCAGTCACCGGCTGGCAACCGTCCCCACGCCGGCACCCCGGACCCCACATCCCAGACCCCACACATCCTAGACCGCACTCCTCAACTTTCCCCTTGAACTTGCTGTCTCTCCTGTGACGTGGACGTTGGTGAGTGGTGCCACCCACCGCCCAGCTACCCGAGTAGAAGTGGTGTGGTCCTTGACCTCTGTACGTCCTTCCTTCCGTTCACTTAGTCAGCTAGCGATCGGATGATCCCACCAGGGTGTCTCAGACCCTTCGAGGGTAGCTCATTGCCTTCAGGAAAACGCCTGCTCATCTTAGTGTGCACGGGAGGCCCACTGCCCCCGCCTCAGCCTCATTTCAGCAGCCGCCCCTCTTCACGCCGCCCTTGACTTAGCTCCCAGCGGGGCCCTGCGCTCTCTGGTCGTGGGCCTTTGCGGTGTTGGTGTCGCGGTCCGAACGGGCGTGCTGCCTCCAGTTCACCTGGTCTGTTGGGACTCAGGGTGGATGTCATTCCCTGAGAAGCCACTTCTCTCGAACCCAAGACTGAGGCAGGTCAGCGTGTCCTCTGGGCTTCAGGGAGCACCCGGGCTTATTGTGTCAAAGCACTTACCACTTCCTAAGGTAATTTCCTGGTTTTTGTTCTAGCCTGTCCCACCGAACGTCTGGGGGCAGGGACTGCTGCTTACTCACTATGGTATTTTTAGCGCTTGTTACACAATACCATCTTTGTCAATAATATTAATAACGTAATGGCAGAGGCAGGAACGATAAATGCAAGTAGGCATTTAAAGAACAGTTGTTGAACACATGGCTGACTACTAAGTGGGCCCTGCTGCACGGTTGGAGGCAGAGTCCTAAGCAAGATATTTCTTGGGTTCTTATTTACCCCCGGAGTCTGCTCTGCAACTCCTACCACAAGGCTAAAAATGGAGACGGGTTGCTAGGGAAGAGGGAGAATAGAATTTGCCAGATAATTAGCATTCCCTGCCACATATATCTGCTGGAAGCAGATGCATTCAAGCTGGGCTTTCAGTCAAGCTCCTCATCCAGACCAAGGCGAGAGAGGCTCTGCTGTCGGAGTAGCAGACGCAAAGGTGCAGAGGTAGGCAGCTGTGACCCTCAGGGAGCAGCAGGGGTCTGGTGTGGCCGCAGTGAGAGGCACGATCAGGTCTGATCGGTGGCCTGCTGTCTGAGGGCTCTTCCTCTGAAGTTATGCAGGGCCAGCGCCAGAAATCAGAGATGCGGAACAGTCCAGAATTTCCCCTTCGGTTCCCTGCATCGTTGTATCTCTTGGTGACATTTTAAGTTCCTACTGTTAGCCTTTCAGAAAGGGGAATTAGGGTGTGTTGGCAAAATGTAGCCATTGGGTCTGCCTGAGATACTATCCTACCAGCCTGCCAACGGACTTGAAATCTCTGTGACCAATACCTTCTTTTCGGTTATTTCCAGCAGTGGCATTGCCCCCGTGTGAATGATGCGGTGAGGGTGGCACACTGGGGAGGGGACGCAGAGGGCGGGGCAGTTAGCGCCGGGCCCCACCCACGTGAGCCTGCTGCCCAAGGTCCGAGGCCAGCGCAGCCTCCTGAGTGCTGCCTCTGTGGCTGGTTCTGCAGTCCCGGCTTCTCTTCTCCTATTGGCTGCCATCACGGAGACACAATCTTGCACTTCCAGGGAAATGCACTTTATCGTTTCATGTTCCTATTGCTTCCTTGTCCTTTGATACCTCGTGCATGATTTCTTTCCACTCAGCATTCAGCTATCTCTCCTTCCAGAGATGGCCACGTCTGTGCATCATTGCAAGGACAAAGTGCTTTTGCTTTCATTTTGATGTTTCGTGTTTTGTAAGACAGTAGATTTGTTTCTTTGAGTAGGGGAGTAATTAAGTGTAATTTGGAGGAAGACTTCTTTAAAATTTGGAACATGTGTGTGTGTCTTCTGACTTAAGGGCTCTAGCTGTCTGGTAAATAAAGTGGCACACCCAAGCTATAGATCAAAGATTAACATTTTATTTATTTTATTTTTTTTTAAGATTTTATTTATTTATTTTTGGAGAGGGAAGGGAGGGAGAAAGAGAGAGAGAGAGAGAGAAACATCAATGTGCAGTTTCTGGGGGCCGTGGCCTGCAACCCAGGCATGTGCCCTGACTGGGAATCGAACCTGTGACACTTTGGTTTGCAGCCCACGCTCAACCCCCTGAGCTATGCCAGCCAGGGCCAACATTTTAAAGATTAACATTTTAAAGATTAAAATTAAAGTTGTTTTTACAGTATTGCCTTTCTCTAGTATTGTTTACATGAAGCGGTCGAACCAGATTACTTGATTTTTATGGTATAAATAAGACAGTGGAACTTCGGTACTCGAACTTAATTTGTTTTGGAAAACTGTTCAAGAAGCGATTCTTTCGAAAACCGAATCTTTGTCTGCTGCCCGAGAGACATACGGATGTCGGCCTGAGAGGGTTGCTGGGCAGAGAGTCGAGACCCGAACTCGAGACCCAAACTCGTCGAGAACAGAGGTGTTGGAGAGCTGAGGGTTGACTGATTGTGACAATTTGAAGACGTGCCAGGTTGTCATACGGCCTGGTCTTGGTGACTGCCGGACCACTGATACTCAGAGCCCCGAGAATGAACGTTGACATATACTACATGTGTTCGATCGCTTTAGTTCTGGACCTTGCTCACGAGGCCCCAGCCCACCTCCTGAGTGGTTACAGGCCGGGCAGGAGGAGGGGGCCTTGAACTGGCGGTGGTGCCCACCAGTGCTCCCTGGCCAGCAGGCGTTGGAGGCTGGGGGTGGGGGATGAGGTGGGGGGGGAGCCTCTTTGGAGAGACTGGCTGACGCCCTGACTCAGGGAGGATGCGGTGGAGGTGCTCAGGGTCTCTGAGCATTGACTTGGAACCAAAACCTTTCTTTCTTTCTTTTTTTTTGACAAGAGTTCATTTTTTTTTTTGAAAAGGAAAAACCCTTTTATTCTTTAACCACTGATTGTGAAGATAAATTTTCGTCAGTTTATATATGAACAAGAGTTGTGGTTCTGGTGACAGGATGTGAGGCACGGTCCCATGCTGGCCACATGAGCATCTCAGATTGGCCTCGCCTCCTAGGACAGTCTGTCCACCTGCGACACCACCCTCCCCTGTCGATGGGAATTGGAAAGTACGGGGTTGCCCAAGAGGAAGGAAGGAGAGGCACACTACTGTTGGTGATAACAACTCGGTTTTAAGAACAAAAAACAGCCGCAACAGTAGGCTTCCTGTATAAGTCGTCACTTGCAGATCTGTGCCCAGATACTAAGTTGTCGTTTGGGAAAAGGAATTACTGGGTTCATCACCATTTTCCCCCCTTAGGTAATTTTGTGAGAACAGTGTTGCAGCCTGCTTTTCATCTCATTGCCAGTGAGGATGATGAAGATGCCGGTGGGGTTCCAGAGACGGCAGGCCCTGCGTCTTCCCACTTTCCCGAAGCACCAGCTCAGCAAGGAACGCCCTGCAGCGGCGGCGCGTACACAGAGGAGGAGAGAGGCAGCGGGAGGAGCCGGACCTGCGATCCCAGGGGCCTGGAGGGCCCGGGACCGGCTCAGCCAGGCCGTCGTGATCTTTCCTTCTTGGTTGTGAAGAATGCCTCAGGGAAAAAGTGTCTGTTTGTAGATCTCGGTAAGTGACACTGACAGGTCTCTACGAGACCGTCCCTGTGCCCTGCTGTGAGTGGCATGCGCACCAGGCCGGCCTGAGCTCCCGGAGGAGTGGTTGTGGGTGGCCGAGTTTCTGCCGGGTCCGCAAGGTTCGAACCCGGGGCCTCTGGGCTGAGCGGAGGCCCAGACTGCACTCCCCAGCACTGCGGAGAGGTCCCGCGCGATGACGTGAGTGCTAAGAGCAGACGCAGCAGGAACACGGTTCCGCTGTGTGGCCAGCGAGGCCGGCGTCCTCCGCACGGAAGAGCGTGGCGGCTCCCCAGCCCCAGTGACCCTGGTGGCTCCCACGGCCCCGCTCTCCCCTGCCCCGCGGGCTTCTGGTCTCTGAGGAAGCTCGGGGCGACCAGACTTCCCCCTGGCTAGGGGTCACACAGCCCAGCGAGGACTCTCCATGTACCCAGCCTCAGTGTGGTGAGCAGGAGCTCATTTTTATGTTGCGGTTTGAGCTTGTGGTTTGAAAAGCTATAACTGCAGCTTTTTGCCACCCACTGCTGAAGCAACTGAGAGAGGTTCCATGTCTGCGGGCTCAGGGAAGGCAGGTTTAACTGCAGGCAGCACAGGCGGGGAAGGGCTCCTGCTGCCCTGGGTGTCCTTCTCGCACTCCCGACGGCCACGTGCGGTCACTTGGGAGTGCAGCCGGAAGAGGGCTGTGCACTGGTCTGGGGGGAGCAGACCTGCATGTCCTCAGGAAGATGGCCTCTCCCGGCTGGACCGACGTGTAAGGAACCAGGGACGATGCCTGGCAGGAAGGTGATCCCGGGAGAGCGCCACGGGCAGTCACTGCTCCCCCTCTCCGCTGCCCGCATTAAAGACCCCGCACAGCAGCCCAGCTCACGACAGCCTTAGCCTGGAGAGTTGGGCACTGTGCTAGCCAGGAAATGTCTCTGATCTGCGTAAGAGAAATATTACAACAGTGTTCCCAGATTTACTTAGGTAACGAAGAGGATGGGGAAGTCATTCCCTAAAGCATCCTTTGAAAAGTTCAGAGTTTTAGTAGTACACACCAAAATTTTTTTAAAGATCTTATTTATTTATTTTTAGAGAGGGAAGAGAGGGAGAAAGAGAGAGAGAGAGAAACATCAATGTGCAGTTGCTGGGGGCCATGGCCTGCAACCCAGGCATGTACCCTGACTGGGAATCGAACCTGTGACACTTTGGTTCACAGCCCGCGCTCAATCCACTGAGCTACGCCAGCCAGGCATACTCACTTTCTTAGGAGTGTTAGCCATAAGTGGATGTTGAAGTTTGTCAGGGTTTTTTTGCCTGTATTGAGATGGTCATAGGTTGCTTATCCTCTGTTTTGTTAATGTGGTAAGTCACATGAAATGGTTTTTGGATATTGAACCATCCTTGCATGCCTGGAATATGTCTAGCTTGATCACGGGGTATGATGCTTATAGTGCATTGTTGAATTTGGTTTGCTGTTGTTTCGGAGGTGTTTCCACCTCTGTTATCGGGTATGTTCGCCCGCGACTTTGTTTTCTCGTGCAGACTTGTCTGGCGCTGCTGTCAGGATGATGCCGGCCACGTAAAACGGGCTCGCGCGTGTTCTCTCCTCTCATTTTTCTGGAAGATTTTGAGAAGTACTGGCATTAATCCTTTGGCTCTTGGGTAAAATTTACATTGAAAGCCATTTGATCCTGGACTTTCATCTGTCGGGAGGGTTTGGATTACTGATTCAGTCTCCTTACCAGTAATCAGCCATTCACACATTCTATTTCTTCATGATTCAGTCTTGGGAAAAGGTCAGGTATCTCTAGGAATTTACCCGTTCATTCAAGATTGTCCCATTTGTTGGCATGTGACGGCGGTAGCCTCTTACGAACCTTTGTATTTCTGTAGTGTCAGTTCTAATGTCCTCTCTTCCGTTTCTCATTTTATGTGGGTCCCCCCTCCCCCCGCCGCGCACGAGTCCAGGCCCAGGTCTGCTTTATCTGGTCAGTAGACCAGTTCTCGGTTTCATTCTGTTATCTTTTCAGTCTCTGTTTCACTTATGTCTGCTCTGACCTTTGTTATTTCTTTCTTTCTACTACCTTGGGGCTTTGGCTTTCTTTTTTTTTAGTTCTTTGAGGGAGAGAGGTCGGTTGCTTGCGATTGTTGTTTGCTTCTCGAGGTAGGCAATTATCATTTGTTCTCTGCGCTGCAGTTGCGGCGTCCGCAAGTTTTGCTTATGTTGTATTTCAGTTTTCATTTGTGTCAGAGGATTTTTTTATTTCTCTTTGGAGTTTGTTGTTGACCCTTTGGTTGTTCAGTAGCACGTCGTTTAATCTCTACGTAGTTTTGAATTGTCTAGTTTTCTCAAAACTGATTTCTGTTTCACATTACCGTGGTTGAAAAAGGTGCTTGGAATGATTTCAGTCTTGTTAATTTGTTAAGACTTGTGTTTCGCCCTTGTTTTTAATGTATGATCCGTCCTGGAGAATATTCCATGTGCACTTGGGAGGAAATGCGAATTGTGTCGCTCTGGGATGCCGTGTGCCGTACATACCTGCCCTGTCGGTCTGACCCAACGTGTCTTTGCCGGCTGGTGTTTCCTGTTGTGCTTCTGGGTGGTCCGTCCATTACTCGTCTAAGTAGGATTAACTTCCCATACTATCATGGTTGTGCTGTGTGTTTCTTTCTTTCTTTAGGTCTATTTATAGTTCCTTTATATATGTATGTGCTCCTGTGTCGTTGCGTGAAAATGTGCAAACGTTGCTATCTTCTTGTTGGATTGACCCCTTTTTCATTATGTAACGCCTGGCTTTGTCTTGCCACAATCATTGTTTTAAAGTATATTTTGTCTGATGTGTACCTGTCGCTACCTCCGCTTTCCTTTGGTTTCCATTCAGACGAAATATCTTTTCCCTTCCCTTCATTTTCAGTCTGCTTGTGTCCTCACTCCTGAAGTATTTTGTAAACAGCATACAGATGGTTTTCTTTTTGTATCCATTCAGCACGCTGCCTTTTGATAGGAGTTTTTAGTCCAGTTACTTTTAAGGTAATTGTTGCTGAGCATGTTGGTGCTGACACTTTGTTGTCTTTTCGCTGTTTTGTTGTTACTTTCTACTCTCACTGTTTCCTTGTAGTTCGATGATTCTCTCTGATGGTATGCTTAGATTTCTCTCTCATTTTCTTCTGTGCATCTGCTGTAGGTTTTTGCTTTGTGGTTACTATGAGGCTCACATACAACAACTTACATCGTACTCTAACAAGATACATTAAATTGGTAACAAGTCCGAATGCATCCTAAAGTTCTTCCTATCTATTCCCTCCATGTTTTATGTTTCTGACGTCACATTTTACACCTCTATCTTGTATATCCTTTAACTAGTTGCTGTAGTTAGCTGTTTTTGCCACTTTAAAAAATTTTCGTACTTGCTCTATGAGTGATTAATCCGGTACTCTTACTACACATTTACCTTTGCGAGTGTAACTTATGCTTTCATATGTTTTCCTATTGTGAATGAGTGCCTTTTTTTCAGCTTTAAGAAGGCTCTCAAACATGTCTTGTAAGGCTGGCTTAGTGGTGATGAATCCTTAGATTTTGCTTGTCTGGAGAACTATCCTTTAGTATGCATGATGACTTGGCCAGTGCTGGGGGGAAACCCCAGGGTCTAAATTTAGGATCAGTTGCCAAGAACTGACACATGACCTTATTCAAATCCATAGCAGCTTTAATAGGAGAAACTTACATACATGGGCAGAGCCGCTGCCCCAATGGTGCCATGCTGGGAGGAATCCACACCCTTCCCGGACAGAGTTCCTTTTTCAAGGGGGTTCGTAGCACAGCCCGATGGCCGGTAGTTGTACAGACCTCCCAAGGGAACAGTGTATCACCAAGTCAAAAGAAAAGTTAGACGACACCACGGGAATTTGTTACACTCTACACATTTGTCTTTGTCTTTGGGCTGCATTCGGTTTTCTGGGTAGTCCGCCAAGTCTGAGGTCACAGAGAATTACACAGTCGCAGAGAGTTCAGTATCTCCCAGACACCTTTGCTGCTGGAGCCGTATTGCATCTCTGAAGTGACTTCCCCTACAGCCAGGTAGAATATTCTAGATTGGACATGTTTTTCTTTCAACACTTTGAATATTTCATGCCGCTCCTTCTGACTTGCGGGGCTCCCGCTGGAAACTCTGTTCCTAGTTATATGGAGGTTCCCTTGTACGAACCACTTGTTTTTCTCTTACTGCTTTTAAGATTCTCTCCTTTAACATTTTTTTTACACTTTATTTATAATTTGTGTTGGTGTGGGTCGCTTTGGGTTCCTCTTATTTGGAACTTGATGAGCTTCCTGCATCAGTATGTCTGTTTCCTTCCCAGGTTAGGGAAGCTTTCAGCCATTATTTCTTCAAGTAAGTTTTCTCTTCCTTTCTCTCTCTGTGTCTCCCCCCGACCAGCTCTCCCACCCCAGGACTCCCGCAATGCAAATGGTAGTTCCTTAAACTGTCTTCACTTTTTACATTCTTTTATTTTTGATTCTCTGGGTCATTTCCTCTGCTGTCTCTAGTGCACCGATTCTTCTGCTTCGTCTCGTCTGCTGCTGAACCCTTCTAGTCTGTTTTTCAGCTCCGTCATTGTATTCCTCTGTACTGGGAGTTGTTTGATGCCTTCTTAATCTTCTGTCTCTTTGCTGAAGTTCTCACTGTTTATGCCTTCTCCTCTTGAGTTCATGGAGCATCTCTGTGACCATCACTTTGAACTCTACATCAGGTAAACTGGTTCATTTCATTTCATTTTTTTTTTTCTCCTGACATTTTATCTTGTTCTTTCCTTTGGAACGTACTTCTTAACTCTCTGTGTTGGTGCCTGTGCATTAGATGAAACAGCCAGCTCTCCAGTCTTGACGGGCCGGGTGTGTGTGGCGGGGAATGTTCGCGTCAACCCTGCCCTGGCTCTTCTTGCCTCTCAAGCCTCTGCGGCTGTCCAAGCGGGCTGTTGTACCCTCAGTAGCTTCCAGTGGGTGGCGGGGTGCCGAGAACAGTCCGCGTCTCAAAGGAGAGCATCTCGGCACCTGGGCTGATGCCGACTGGAAGCCAGATAGACCCTCAGGCTGCGGCTTCTAAAGAACACACGTATACACACAGCCCTGCTCTCTGGGACTGGCAGTGCCAGCTCCCCTGGCCGCCAGAGCCAGGCCGTCAGGACGTGTCTCCCGAGCAGGAGTCACAAAACTAGGGGCGCCAGATGCGTGTGCACGCTCCTTTCTGGGGCCTGCCGGTGAGGGAGAGGGGGCGGGGGCATGCAAAGACGGCATCCCTGGCTCACGTTCCCTAGGAGCGGCCCCGCGGCCCCCAGGTGTGTGTCCTACCTGAAGCCGGCCCCAGGGGGCGCGGCTCTAGGACGGGCCATGGAGCCCCTCCCACCGCAAAGCTGTGGGTGAGCTGCTGCCGTCTGGGCAGCGCCCGGGGTGGGGCGGGAGCCTGCCAAGAGCTGCCTCTCCCACTGGCCCAGCCCCGGGGGACCCGGGAAGGCAAGGCAGGCCAGGGGCACACCCCGAGAGGCCAACCGCGGTGCCAGGTGCCGGGTGCGTGCGGAAGCTCCCCTCTGGGAGGCGGCGGCGCTCTGGGACACAGCAGGGGAGTGCACAGGTGGCACCTATTGAAGAAAGGGGGGGGGCGAGAAGAAGGTGGTGCCCAGCGGCTTTAGCAAGGCGAAGGGTGAGAGAGAACATGGACGAGGGTGCCTGTTGGGAATCCAGACCCCGTCAGCTGTGACAAGGCAGGGGACAGCAGGAGGGTGGTGGCAGCTCTGCAGGCCCCAGCCCCACGGGCCGACACCCTAGATTAGCGAATGGGTTTCTTCCCATAAAGGCTGGTGCAGTTCAAGGCTGCTCCTGCGCTGGGGCCTGGGGCGGGCGGGTCTGCACGGGAGCCCTTTGAGAGCCGTGGTTCCGTTTCCCACGGCCCCCTGGGCCCTGTGGCCGCGAACCCAGCTGGTCTTCAGAGCCAGGTGGTGGGAGGTTTCACCTCTCGGTGGCTGGTCCTCAGTCGGGGTTCCCGAGAAGCAGCCCCGGGTCCCATTTCCTTCCTGCCGTGGGTGGCCGCCCCAGCGGCGGGGCGATGGGGAGAGGTGTGTTGGGCTTCCCGCCTGCTCTGATGTGGTCTCCCTCCGTTCTCCATGCGTGAGGGGGACCTTCCACCGGATCCGCAGTTTTCTTCAGAAGAGATTCTTCCCTGTAGAGCCACAGGTTCACTGTGTCCATGGGAAGAGGATGTTTTTCTCAGTGACTAAAGACCAGCAACCGAGAGGTGAAACCTCCCAACACCTGGCTCTGAAGACCAGCTGGGTTCACGGCCACGGGGCCCGGGGAGCCGTGGGAAACGGAGGCACGGCTCTTACAGGGCTCCCGTGCGGACCCGCCCGCCCCAGGCCCCAGCTCAGGGTTCTTCTGTTGCCACGTTGAGTCAGAAGCTATTGTTGCTCCTGACAATGCTATCCGAGATTAATTTGTTTGCTGACTGTACAAACAAACTGAAAAAAATGTGCATTCATATTTTGTCAATGTCTGATGCAGGAGTTTATACAAGAAACAGAAACTTCCGGCTGTATAAGTCATCAAAAATAGGAAAACGCGTGGTTCTGGAGATTGCTGAAGACAACGCGTTTTCTGTTACGCGGTCCAGCGACATTTCCGAGGAAAACCAGTACTTCCTGTCGTCTCTGGTCAGCAGTGTCAGGTGCGTGTGCCAGAGCCCGGCCGCTGCATGTTCCTGAGCGCGAGGCAGCTAGTGGCACTGACCTGCACGGACGTGTAAATTCTGTGAATTCATTCTACTTTTAAACAAAGGAAGTCAGTTTTTAAAAACCTAGGTTACTGTTTTCTTCTGTTTAAATTTATTTTCTAACCACTTTCTAACACTTTCTATTTTCTAACACTCTGTGTCCTTTTATAGTTATATTTTATATATTCTTCCAGTTTTTCTAGAGTGATTAACATTTCTATAAAGAAAATAAACATTAGTTTTATTGTATTTGGCAATATGACTACTATTAACATATTTTTATATATGCACATACAGATAATTTACATAACTCCTTCACTCAAAAAGTATTTCTTGAGATTCTATGGTATGTCACCTGTTTTATCTGCTCAACATATCATGAATATTTGCCAAGTTAATAATTTGCCAGCAGTTAATTGTAAATAAAACCTTCACCTATATAGTTTTCCCTTCTATTGACCTACTTTTGTTTGTTCTGTTGTTGAACACTCAGTTTTACATGTTTTGGTCATTTTTAAAAAGTGTGAAAGACACCTTTCAACCAAAATACTAGCCTCCCCCCACCCCCTTGCCCCTGGGCCAGTCATTGCTGTTAGTGCAAACTCCGGGAGCACACTAAATTGCCGTGTTCACTTGCTCTTCTGTGCCTGCCCGAGACGGAGTCTTGCAGAGAAGACTGTATCTATCGAGTCCTCTCCCCTCCTCCCTCTCCCTCCCTCTTTCTCTAGAATCAGTCAACATCCTCGGGTGAGGATTTAAGGACGTACCTGCACAGCAGTGCTGGCACACAGCATTTGCTCGGTAAATGTTGTTAGCAGTGGCAGCAGTCTCTGAGCTTCTGGGAGTGCCGTGGGAGTGGTGTAGAAATTACGGGACAGTGGCTGCCACTGGTGTTGGCACCGGAATAAGGTCACACTCCGCCGTGTATGGAGGAGCCGCCCGGGGGGCCAGTGACGCAGCCTGACGTGCAGGCTGTTGCCACCGAGTCCCATTTCCTCTGTCGTGTCAGTGTTAACTTCACAGAACTGGCCAGTTCTGCTGAATAGGGTCCCCTTCGGTGTCTTTGTGTGTCCAAGTAAATACCGGGTTATTTTTCTTCCAGAAATGAAGGTGAAATGCTTTACAGTTATGCTTGCATCTTTTATTTCAGTTCATTGTGATCCATTTTTCCCTTTGCTCTCATCCCTCTTTCCTTCTCTTTTCCTCCTATCACTCACACTTTCACATCATTGCAGCAAAGATTCAAAGGCTCCGTATGTCTGGGGAACAGAATCGTACTTCGTTCTGTAGCTGTCCCAGAGTCCTCTGATTCCCTCCGTGGTTGAGGGAGGGACTCCACGTGACCACCAAACGGCTCTGTTCGTATGGGTGGGATGGGTGCTTTTGTGGCAAACGTGGCTTGCCCTAGAACAATAGCTGGCGAACAGAGGATTGTATTACGGAACTGTCTGAAGTCATTTCCTTTCTGTAGCCGTGTCTCTTTAATTCTAACACACTGTGATTTTGTTTCTTGAACGTATTTATTTCTCCAGATTCTCAGATACTTTACGAATTCTTACATGTGACTCACCGAAGAATAAACAGAGACAGCCTGGGCATTTTAATAGTCCCAGCACTTCAGGTAATTTTAGACAAATAACTTTTTATAAAAATGTAAGGACACTAAATCTATTTTGCCTTTAAAATCTTAAGTATTCATATCTACCGATCTTTTACACTGAGTAGGTTTCTATCCAAAATGAATATAAAGATATTTTTAAAGGTTAATCGCTAATTTTCATTTTATGGCATTTTTGAAAAAATATGAAAATAATATAGTTTGTATAAAAGAAACATGTGTCAAAGTTAAAAAAACTAAAAGTTCTACACCTTCCTCTGTCCACAAAGGTGGGTAACCACTGTTAGTAGTTCCCATTACCATATTTTGCTGTGTATAACGCACACCCACATTTTTATGACCATTGTACACAGAATTATCATGCCCATTGTTCATCATACCCATGTCTAATGAGCATCCTTATTTTCCCCTCAAAAATTTGGGCAAAGTATTGCGCTTTATACACAGCAAAATATGATAACCAGGAGTTTCCCCTGTATTTCCAGTAATATGGAGAGTGTCTTCATTCTTTGGATGGCTGCATAGTTTTTCTTTCATAAGATGCATTGTACATATTATTCATTCCTATGCTGAAGAACATACAGGGTTTTTTCCCTAAGATTTCATACTTTTACTCTCCAGTGAACATTTTTTATACATATTTTGGGCTATTATTTGTAATAGTGAACAAGTGAAAACAATGTAAGCATACAACAAAATAGGATTGATTACATAATATAAAAGCCTCCGCAGTCATGAAGTCTATAAAGCCTGTATTATACGGAAAGTGCCCGCTTATGATGTTAAGAGGGATAGTAGACTTAAGTTATATGTGGAGTATGATCCCAAGTTTATTTAAAGATAGGGGCAACTTATTGTTTATTTTCTTCTGATTAACAATTATTTCCAGACATTGACTGGAGTTTATTTCTCTTTTCTGCTTTAATATATTTTCCGAATTTTCTCCCGTCGTGCACATTGCCTCTGTACGTGAAATATGGGCTTTATGTTAAGAAAAGTGGATATTCTGTCTTTAAACACTGGATGAGACTGGAAATAAATCGCTCTCAGTTACTCCAGTGGCTTCTCAGGTGCAGAATGTCGCTGTACTGTCAGTGCCCGACGGCTCACGCCACCGGAGCGCCTGCCTGCACTGGGGCAGCCGAGCTTGCAACTGGTGGCCACGATGGGACCCACGCCACAGGGGACCGTGGGTTGTCTCAGTATGGGGTGGGGGGGCGGTTAGGAGTCACCTTGAGTTGGGTGCTTTTGAGGAGGGTCCGTCAGGGACAGTTCTGTGACTGACCATCTTGATAAATCTAATCGAGAAGAAGCCGCACTTGGTAAAGAAACAGCTGTTCCTTCCAGTACACAAGATAAGGGGCATTCGGTCGTTTTTGTGGCTTGGAAAACGTCCGTCCGTTTTGTCTGTGTTCAGACAGGATTACAGAGGCTCTTGTTTCTGTCCTGAATTGCCACGGCCACGGGAGGGCCTTCCCGGACGGGAAGTTCCGTGGAAGGGTACGTGGTGTGACAGACATTGCAAGAAGGGCGGAGCTCCAGGCACGGGGCCAGCCTGCACCCAGCCGGCCCCGCAATACGAGGCCAGCTCCTGAACGCAAGAGGCTGCGACTGACAGGACTATAGATGCCTCTCATAGTAATGAGCTGATGTTCTACTTAATTGAGAGGTTTGAATTCCACCTGCTCCCCTGTAGGATAATAATACATGACTGGCTAAAAGTCAAATTGCAAAAAAAAAAAAAAAAAGGTGGGAAGGAAGGTAACCTATGATTTTACTGAACAACTTAAATCAAAATTTAACTCAACTCTTAGCCATTATAATTTGTAATTAATTTTTCTCTCTATTGCAGGAGAAACCATTGAAGGTGTTCAGGGTTCGCCCTACCCTGAAATTGATCAATTTGTTCTTTCTTTGGTGGATAAAAATGGCATTAAAGGAGGTAAAGATAATCTTATTCTTTATTAACTGTTACATTATAGAGTAATAATACCTTTAGAAACTTAAAAAAATATTTTATATTTATTTTTAGGCAGAGTGGGAGGGGGGAAGAGAGTGAGAAACATTTATGTGTGGTTACCTCTCGTGCGCCTCCTAGTGGGGACCTGGCCTGCAACCCAGGCATGTGCCCTGACTGGGAATTGAACCTGCAATCCTTGGATTCGCAGGCCAGTGCTCAATTCACTGACCCACACCAGCCAGGGCTGAAGCTTTTTGTTTGCATTTTAGGCATTCGGTGTTGGAACTACTTTTTTCGAGAGCAATTACTGGTTTATGACATTTGCAAATATCGCTGGTGTGAAAACATTGGAAGAGCCCACAAAAGTAATAATATCATGTAAGTAATTTTGTTTATTAATTAATAAATTCTGTGTATTTAACCAATGTATTTAGCATATTTTTAATTTCTAAAGTTGAGAATATACAAGTGACTTTTCGTGACAACTCAATTTGTAGTTTGTGTTCTATTTAATTTGCAAATTTTAGTCATGACCTTCCGTCCAGCACCTGTCACCTCTATTTGTACTGTGCTTGCTGGGCGAGTCCCGCAGACAGTATGCTGTTGAGAAGACCACGCACAGTGCAGTGGGGCCGCTGGAAACGGGGCAGCGGACGGGCGAAGGAACACAGGGGCAGCGTGTCTCCGCTCCGTGCCCCTGGCCCCGACACCTAGGGTGGTCTCAGCGGAAAGGGAGCCAGTCTGGGTGGGAAGGAGACCAGTTTACTTGTCTGGCCGTGGACATCTGGGCTCGCTGTTGTGCATGATGAAGCCACAAATATTCTTGTCCACGTTGCCTAGCGCACGTGAGTTTCTCAAAACATGCACCTAAAAATAGATGTGCTGTCGCAGAACATGCACGTGTTTAACTTTACTAGAAAATAATTCTTTTCCCGAAGGGTCAGCCTCATTTGCACTCTGGCCAGCAGTGTCTGCAGGCTCCCTGCGGCTCCACGTTCTCACCACACGCTGCTGTGGTCAGGGTTCACACACGTGGTTGGCGCAGCTGGCGGGTGTAAACTATTGGTGGTTCCACCTGAAGTTCCTTGATTACTAGTGAATTTGCGGATTCGAATGTCAAACCACATTCCTGACTCGGAGAGTCCTACCCGGCATCCAGCTTTACCGAGGGACCCAGGGATCCGGAGCGCAGGAGAAGCAGACTGCGGCCTGGTGCCCAGCAGGCACGCCCCCTGCATCCCGCACCCTGCATCCCGCCGGCCCTGGATGCTCTCTTCCATGCGGGGAAGGCAGAGGCAGAAGCGAGCAGTCACCGCACATGGCTGGGGGCACTGAGGCTGTGAAACATCAGTGTTTACACTCAGAGACACACAGCCCGTGTGACACTTCCAGGGAACCACGCCCCACCCACCCAGAGACTCTGGGCTTGCGCACTGTGCGCACAAGTCGGAAACACCTTGCGAAGGGCATCCATCCGGTAGGTGCGGCGCTCTGCCTGGCGAGCGGCCTGGGTCCAGAGGCTCCCAGGCGTGGCTCACGGAGCCTTAGACGGTCGGTGGCATTTCCCACGTGCTCCGAGGCCAGGAGAAACGCCCGAGTTCCATCATGGAACAATGTCAGACGGCTTCAAGTTTTCACATCCCAACCGTTTCGTGGCTCTTTGAAAAATACATGTTCATCAACTGCAAGAAAACCTTTGTTGTTTCATTGTTTTGTCATTGAGGCGTAACTGACATATAACAACATTAGCTTCCCGTGGACAGCACAGTGATTTGGTTATTCGTACACGCAGCAGAATGCTCGCCAAGCAGGTCTCTGGTCGCCAGACATAGTTACAGAATATTTCTTCTCATGCTGACGCCCTTCCAAGACTTACTCTCCTAGCAAGTTTTAAAGAAGCAGCACAGCACTGTTAACTGCAGGCGCCGTGCCGTGCGTCATCTCCCCAGGACTGCCTCGTTTATAGCTGGAAGTCTGCTGCTTTTGACCCTTCCTACACAGTTGCTTGTTCACGCGACCTGTGTCCTCTGATAACCTCCTAAATGCCGGGATCAGGTGGGACCGTGCCACCCGCCCCATCGAGTCTCGTTCCACACAATGTTCGGGGGTAACGCAGCCGCCCCAAGCACCCCCGCTCTACAGAGAGGGCACGTCGGTGGAAGGAGTGAACAGTGTGTGACACCGAAGCTGTGAGCTGCAAGTGGTGTGCAAGGGGCTTGGCAGGTGTCCGGATCGGTCTGTCTCCCTGGAGAAAGGCAGACGTGCTCCGTGGCCGTGCCGTGTGGTCTGGGAACGGCAGCACCAGCCGCTCCCTGGGACGTTCCGGAGGCTGGGACGCTCGGGAGGCTGGGACGCTCGGGAGGCTGGGATGCTCGGGAGGCAGCGTGACGGCTGCCTGCAGTCTTCCCTCCTGGGTCCATGTCTGACCACCACGCGGGGTGTCAGTCATTTTGTGTTTCCTTTTCGCTGAAATGTGGGAAGGGTTCTGCAGCGCTGAAGTTTTTTTTTACGCTTAGTGGTTAGATGGTTTAGGCGTTCTGCAACTTTTAAATTTTGCCGAGTTTGGTATATTTTCATCTATTCCTTTGTCTATTTTCCTGGCAAAAGTTCATAGTATTCTTATATTTTTAGTATATTCTACATTTGTAGTTGTATCTGTAATTTCTAATAACATTTGTGTCTCTACCATATTTTTTTTTATCAGTCTTGCAAGTATTTTACCAGTTTTCTCATTCTGAGCTTGTTGATACTCAATTTGTTCTTGCCCTGGCCGGGTGGCTCGGTGGGTCAGGGCAGCGTGCCCCACACCACAAGGCCGCGGGTTCGATCCCCGGTCGGGCGCACACAGGAGGCAGCACATCGGTGTCTCTCTCCCCCCACCTTCCTCTGAAATCAGTAATCGTGTCCTTGGGCGAGGATCAAACACTTTTGTTCTTTCTTACTTCCTGTGTTAGTTTATTAGGGTTTATTCTATTGTTCACTTTCCTAGTTACTCATTTGTCTTTAGCCGGGTTTTTTTTTGGTAGATAAGCTTTTAAGATTTGAAAGAAAGCCCTCTCAAGATTACTGTAGCTCTTTCACTTGTTTGCATATGTATTTTCAATTCCATTCGGTTCAAACCAGTCACTAATTTCCATCGTGATTTTTCTTCAGTCATTGGTTACTTACAAGTTTTTAATTTCTAGCTTTGGCTTTCTAGTAGCTGTCTTTATTTCTCAATAATTTGCTTTGTGATCAGAGAATATGTTATATGAATGAATAATTTTAAATTTAATGAGTCACATTGTACCTGGCATAACCAATTTTTGTTTATAAAGAGTTGCTTTTAATTACTTGAAGCAGTATTCATGACTATTATATCAAATTTGTTCATTGCTTTTTAATTATGTCAATTTTTTTATATCCTTACTGATTGGCTTTACTGTATCACTTATCAAAAGAATGATTTTTAAAATCTTGGTTTATGGTAGGTTTGTTTATCCTTGGAGTTGTCAATTTTGCTCACACATGGGGGCGCAAAAGTAGGTTCACAGTTGTATGTGGAACAGTGCATTCTTGTATTAATTTTCCATACGCACAACTGTAAACCTACTTTTGCCTCACCCTGTATTTTGAAACTATACTCTTTGGTGGAGACAGAGTGGACACTGTGTCTTCCTGGGAGGTGTATTTTTTTGCCCTCAAGTCCATTTCGTATGATATTTTTGGCAACCACAGTTTGTTTTTTGGCTTGGTGTATTTCTATGGCTATGCTTTCAGTTTTTAAGTTTTCTCCATCTTTATGTCTCAGGCATATCTCTTTTAAACATCATGTAGCTGAATTTTGTTTTCTATCCAGCCTGGCTGCTAGGTAATATTTTTTTTTCTTTTTATAACCAAGGATTGTGGTTGATCTGAAAAATGAAGTTTGGTATCAAAAATGCCATGACCCTGAATGCCAGGCAGTGAACTTCAGATCTGACTGTGAGTTACTCATGTTTACATTGGCCACCGAGTAACACTCAGATCTCGTGGTAAACCAGTTCTACCGTCTCTCCGACCCAGGTGCCCCACTGCCTGCCGAAGTGCGCCTGTCGTTTCTTCTCGGGGAGGTGAGTGCGGCCTCCGGTTCCCTTCTCCCGACCCACCAGTGCTTGGCACCGCCACACCCGTCGGCCGAGGGTCGGGCCCCGCGCGTGCTGTGCTCCAGGGGCTGTCACACGGCCAGCCCCTGGTTTCCCCTCGGGGCTGCGAGCCGCGACTGTCCCATCGCGGTCCACCCCGTTCCTCGGCGCCGCCCCCTGAGGAACCGACCGCGTGGGACCTGCTGAGCCGGCCCCATCCATTCAGGAAGTTTCTCCTGTTTTGCCCTTCAAAGCACACTGCAATCCTCATCTTTGTGTTTCTTTAAACTGTACCTGGAGGAAAGGTTTCCAGAAGTAGAATTATGTTGAAGGGCATACATGTACATTTTCCTTTAAAAACTTTTACTTACTCAAAATATTTTACATTCATTGTCGAAAAAAGTACATAAAAATCAAAAGGGGAAAAAAATCATCCTCACTCCTAACTTGACTAGTCGGATATAACCGATGCGAACCTTTTGGTGTGTATCTGCCAGAATCTGTGTGTGTGTGTGTGTGTGTGTGTTGTGTGTGTGTGCGCGCTGTGCGGTAGGCTTTTCCCCCAAACCATCCGATATTCCCACTAATACGTATTACCAAACCGCACTGCATTTCCTGTTACCCTACATGTTTGCCAACATTGCTTATTTTTTTTTTTGCCTTTTAATCTGTATCGACCTGGTCGGCAAAAAGTGGTATTTTGGTGGTTTTAATTCACATTTCTTAATTTACGAGCGAGGCTGCACTTTCCCCGATTCACAGTGGTTTCTGTCGCAGACCGCTGCAGCCGTGCGGGCTCGCGGGCGCTTCACGGGAAGTCCGCACCGAGCGCTCCTCCGTCACGTCACCTCAGATCGCCCCGTGCCCACCCGGCACACACACACCTGCCAGCCTGGACCCTGACTGTGCGGTCGGACTGGAAGTCTCCCGACTGCGGCTGAGTGCCTGGATTCCCGGTCCAGACACTGCTCTGGCACCTATTCGATTCAGTTTCTTAAAATGAAGTCTCCTGAAATGTAGACATCCCCTCCTTGGTCTCTAGAAGGTGGACATAAAACAGCTGGTAGCCAGATTCTCTGATAAACTACCAGGTTAAAAAGTGTTTTAAAATAACCAAGAACAAGTTAATTTTATTTTTAACTATTTAAAAATAGACTTTCGCCTCTAGGAGGAAGATGTCATCCCCATTCATCCGGAGTATTACTTTAATGCATGTTTGTGGTTTCAGCGGGTTTTTAACGTCTTTTCTGCTTATCAAGTTGAAAGTACTTTTGGTATGCAGTATGACTACTGCTGTGTATGCAGTATGACTACTGCTGTGTAATTTGCTTCGTTTTATTTAAAATTTTAACAAAGAACAGTATAATGAACATCAGTGTACCTATCACTTAGTTTTAATGTTAACACTTTGTCATTTGTTTTTTGTTTTTTAGTACTTTAAACTAAATTACCGGTGTTACGTGCCTGCTTTTCCGTTGCACTGATCACCTTAGTTTTTAAACAATTTTACTTAAATTTTTTACATGCAGAAATGCTGCACAAGAACAGGAGCTTCCCCGTGTGCCCTGCACCTGGCGTGGCCACGAGTTACCGTGTGGCCGCACTGGTCTCTCCCCCCCTCCAGCACAGACACGCACTGGCGGTGACACCTCGCTGTCACGGCGGGCCGCTGTCCCACCACCCCACACCGGGTGCTCAGCCACGACAGTTTGCTGTAGTGAAATCATCACACTGTGACGGAATAACTAGTATTTTCTTCCATTCCACCCTCCTTTCCCCTCCTCTTTGGAACTAAAGGAAGAAGAGTTTGCAACTGACGAAGCAATGAACAATGAAACCAAGAATCCTCAAAAGCCACCATCCTGTATGTTGTCAAAAACTGAATTTTCTGGTCCTGACTGGGACAATGGCATTGATGACACTTGTTTTCTGGAAGCTACTGAAGACGCCGAATTAGCAGAAGCTGCGGAGACCAGCCTTCTTGATTACAACAGTGGAGGGGACGAAATTCCTGATGAACTAATTGTGGAAGTTTACAAGAATAGCTAACTCACTGTGGAGACTTCCGTAACCGTAACCAGGCCGTGGTTTGTCTGACAACAGATTGTAAAAACGAACATTAAATTATAGTAACTTATTGTAAATTATAGTAACTCATTGTTAAATTTGTTGATAAAAGTTAAGTTTTATATTGCTTTCCAATTTTGGTTTTTACTGAAGTAAATCACTTTTATTGAAAATTAATTTCAGTGCACTTAAATTCAGAACAACTCTCTATTGATTAACCAAAATTAGTCTGTATTCACATCAGCTTATGCATATTTATTTATAGATTAAAGTCTTTATGTCTGTGGCTAATTAGGATTGAGTGTCAATATTTCAACTCATTACTCAAGACACTAACCAGAAGAGCTAATTATAGCCTCTAAAACTACTGCGCAGTCACACTGGTGACAAGGGCACACAACCAGCCCGAACGGTTAGACAAGCTTGCTCTGTTACGTGTCCCCGAGAAAGTCCTCTAAGAAAAAGCAGTTTCAGGAGGCGACAGGCCGTGGTGCGGGGCTTGTCCTCACGTGGGCGCGGCTTAGTAGACCCGTGTCACTCCTGGTCGAGGAGCCTCTCTAACCGATAGTTGATATTCTGCAGGTGGCTCTGAGCTCCTAGAAGGGTTCTCCCTTTGAATAACAGAGCTGGAAGGCTGGACGAATCATACTATTGAAGGAAAATACTTAGATTAAAAAATACCAAGAACTGTTACAACCCTGTTTGTCCCACACAGCTCAGTGTTATGACCAAACGCCGAGTTTAATGCAGCTTCCCACTGACGACTCCTCCTTCTGGGAACTGGCGTCACGGGTCTGGTTTCCACCCCCGCACCCCGTGCCTCAGGACGCAACTGATAAATCAGGTTTCCAGGGAACTGCTCCCCAGGCTGGCAGACCTCACCCGGGGACACCAGCTGGCTCAGAGCCACCGAGGCCTGTGAGTTATCTGAAACGGAAGTTCGTCCCTGGGGCAGGTAAGAACTGGGTCCCGCAAGGGCACTTGAGCTCACGCCTCTTTTAAACAGAATGTGGTGACTCAGAGTTGCTGCTACTGTGGGAACCGGTGGCAGGAGCACACCGGGCCCAGAAAAAAAAAAAAAAGCATCATCTACAGAAATTATTTAGTGGAGATCAATTAAATGTCTCAGAAGTTGCCATCCAAATTTCTTAATGATTAAAGACAAATCAGACTACAAACCCAACATAAAATAGAAAACAAAACCCAGCTAATGACTTTAAAATAATTAACAAAGCCAGACTTCATGTTATAAATTGTACCTAAGGGAGAGTGACTGAATTCCCCTTACAGGAGTCTACAGTTACGAATTTGTTTAATGTGGTTTTCTTAGAAATGAGACTTGAGCAGAAAAGCGGTCAGACTATACCACCCTCATAATAACGGAATAATGCAGGTGGGTGGGCTGGAATGGGAGTAAAAGGGAGAAAACTGTATTTGAACAATGATTAAAAATAAAAAAAAATAGAGAAAAACAAATGAAAAAGATAATAATAACGGAATGCTTTCTGGAACACACCTACCATATCCCTGGGATTCAGCTAACTATTTGGGAGTCTAAGGTGCTCGAGCTGCCGAGGGCGCCTGCTCTCCGGGAGGACGTGGGAAGGACTAGCACCTGGCACCGGACGTTTAGCTCAGGGAGAGAGAGCGGGGAGACCAACACTTGGACAGGTGAGTGCTCTGCGAGACAGGCGCACAGAGGCAGCGGCGGGCGCGCGGAGCACGGGCTGGGCTGCGGGCGCGGGGAGTGCGCGGCAGCAAACGGGGCCCCAGTCGCGGCATCCCCGCCTCCGCCGCCAGCCTCTTCGAGCTTAGCAGCTGAAGCTCCGACTGCACACGGTAAGCTTCACACTGGCTGGATGCGGTCACGGGGAAAAACGGAAAAACATCCCATTTCCAGATCTCCCATCTATAAAAAAAACTTAGGCTCAGGAGGATTAACTTTTAGACCCGTGTCAAAACCTTAAAATTGAACTGAGACGCGAGGCATACAAGAATGTTCATAAAATATACGTGTGCTGCGAATACATCATTTTTTCTCTCTAACAACCATCCCTGTTAGTCTGAGCGGGGTCTCGTACCTGCAGCAACGCCTGCAGCAGCAATCCGGACGCAGCTGTAAAACTTACTACAACAACATACCACACTTTCCCCTACTATCTTCCCTTTTTTTATGTTTCTCAGCCTCTAATGTCACACCTGCCCTTTTATGGGATAATGACTTCCTTTTCAGAGAAAAAAGAGACTACAAGCCCGGGCGGAACAAGAACAAGAGGGTGGTCTTTCCAGCCTGGCTGGTGTCCGGCGAGGACAGGACGACTCCACGACAGGCCGGTCGCCCCTCTGAGGCTCGCACAGAAAGACGCGCCCCCCTAGTGGTGAGACCCGGTTCCTGCCGCAGGGTGTCCTCTCTTCCTCTGCTTTACTCCAGCAGCTAAGGAAGTGGCGCTGTCAGCAGTGTTCCTGGAGTTAGAGGACACTCACTGTTTGGGGTTGCGTCTCCATTCTCTCCCTGAGGCCGCCGGCACCAGCCCATGACAGCCCTGCACCTCCTGAGCCGCGGTGCGGAGCGAAAACCGGACTCACCGTCTCCTTCACAGGCGGCCCCCGCTCTCGGACTTCTGAATAATCGCGGTGAAGCTGTTTTAAGTCAGATAAGAAATGGGCTGCATTCCTAAGGGAAGATTTTCTCTCCTCCAGTTCATCACATTTTACCTGTAGCTGTTTCAGCTGTGGCTCTAACCTAAAACAAAAGAATAGTTTTCCTAAAAACAATGACACATAATGAAGTGTAACAGCCCACGGCGTACGAGGAGACTGAGTTTGTAAGTGCACCAATGAAGTTAGGAAAATCGGGCCTGGGGAACTACTGAGTCACAACACAACTTGGCTGACCTGTTACGGCCTCAGGCAGGACTAGGCAACAGTAAAACCGTGAAAGAGAAGCCTTCCCCTGCTCCTTCCTCTTATCAACACTGAGCCCGTCTCCAAGGTCCCATAAAACCAGGGGGAGGAAAAACGAGCCCAGTGCTGGGTGAAACCCTGCGACCTTCGGCACCCTGCTCGCGCTCTCAGTGGCTCCCTCCGTCCCCAGAGCTGGGGGCTGGGGGTGCTTGAGCGCCACACCCGGGCATGTTTCAGCAGAAACGCTAACAAGACTGAACCTGCTCAGTACCGCCCTCCGCACGCTGGCCGCGCCTTCTGCGTCCCCACTCACTGCGTCCTCGCGGCACCCCTCGAGGTCCAGGTGCCCTGACCACTGACCCAGAGAGCACTGAGGTCCCGGGAGGTTGCATGACCTGCCCGGGGCTGCCCGGCCAGTAAGCGGCGGAGCCTGGACTCACACCCCAGGCCGCCCAGTTCCCGAATCTCCAGTCACATCGCTGATTAGGCTGCGTCTCAGGCTAGAGCTGAGAGACCTGAGGACAGGCCAGCGCTGAATTTTCTTTGCTGAAAGCCTCTCCACTCTGCAGCACAACCTGCCTCCACCGGCTTGCAAGCTCCAAGAAAACCAAAGGGATTTTAATGTGACAGCAGCAGGCTTTACCAGCCCCGCGTGGCATGCCCTCGCCCTCCTGGGTAGGCTCGCAGAGAGGAGTTCGGTATTGTCTTACCAAAGCAGTTCGTTCTGGACTTCGATCAAACGCTGCCTTTTCTTTTCAATGTCTGAAGTCATCTAAGTAATACAACAATTTCTTTGTTAAAATAATTTCACAGATGTTTGGGCACCACCGAGCACGCCGTGCCAGGAGTTCGGCAGCGTGGTGGGAAACGAGACAGAGCCCGCCCTTCCCGTCGTGGGACGCCGTCCAGCGGGAGGACAGGCGTCTGCGGGAGCAGTGCGCCGCCACGGCACCGGCTCGTGCTCTGACAGACAGGACGGCCGGGCGGTTTACTCCAGGACTTTAAAGTAGTGGGGGCCAGATCTCCGCTGCGGCATTAAAGAACTTTATTGTCCCAGATTTTGTCTAGGCACAATAGGCAAGTACTGAACGGGTTAGTAGGGTCAGGAAGGGGTTTCAGAAAGAACATCTCAGCACAGTAAATTTCGCCCTCTCAGCTGTCACTGTTGGTGACTGCGTGACGCTCCGGTGCCGGACGTTCTGACTGCTCCCACTTGTTTACAAGCAAGGCCGAGTTGACCAACCAGAGATTAAAACCGAAGGAAAAACACACGAGCAAAAGTTTGTAATCACTGTCAGGAAAATGTGTGTGTTTCCAATCCGTTTCAGTTACTAATGTGGAGGGGAAGCTGCTCTTCCACTCCTGGGTTCACGCAAGTTTAGGGCTAGACCCTCAGGGGTCATCTGATCAACCACAAATGGCCGAGCCCCATGTTTCCAGCTTCTCTGTGGCACACCTGCTGGTGGTGTTTTCAGAAAGGTGGCGCAACATTCACGTAGCAGAACAAGGGCAAGAAAAAAGGTCTCCTGACCCTTAGCTCAATATTCTTCCCAGGCTGTCCTTTGACCCGGGACATGGGACAGCTGTTCATTCTGAAGGCTTTGCTTTTCTGATATGTACAAAAGTGATGAATATGCATCACTCAATACTGATCCATTCTGGGCTTCCCAGCCTTTTCTAGGCTGACCAGGACCCCCACGACCTAGCGTGCATGGACACTACTCAACCACAAGACCAGCCAAGTAACAGCCTGCCTAAAAGGACAGAAACCTTCCACACTCTGAAGGTCACAAAGCCCAGAGTCGAGTCTTCACTTAAGTCTTCGACACGACCACATGCATCTGATCACAAGTGACTTACCTTAGTATTCTTCCTTCTCAGAGTTTTCAACTTCTGGACTTCAGTAAGCTACACAAAACAAAAAAATATTTGCATGGCATTTTCCAAAATTAAATGCTTATTAGCTTACAGTATTTCCCAACAATATGCAGAACACTGATAATGAGTTCTTGACCGCATGGCAGCAAATGCAATCTGTCTAAGATAATTGTGTGCTCCTCAGGATGAGCAAGAAGGATCCAGGACAATACATTTGTGTCAACGAACTTACTGTTTTGATGAGTTCCTCTTTCAGACTAGAATGAAATTTGTTGATCGCTTCCTTGCATATTTTAGATTCTATATTTTGTCTGTAACAGAATTTTTTAAAAAAAGATAAAACTAAGTATCAAAAACTGGATTGTGAACAGTGTTTCATTTGCTTATTAGCACATCAACACACAATTAGGCACACAGCATTCGAGCATCTAAGACGGCATGGCCGGCCAGCTACAGCCCTTTCTCGGGCTTAGAGAATACGGGGTCTGTCCCAATAAAAGAAAAAGAAGAGGAGATATTCTTCCCTAAACCCTCGGGTGTGTGGTTGGCTAAGCTCCCGGACACTGGCCACACCCACAGGTGACTCCGGGTGATGTGGAAATGCACCGCCAACCCAGCCTTCCTGCCCGGACCCGCTGACCTGCAGACTTCCGCCCCGCCTTCCTGCCGGCCAACAACTGGAGGAATAACCGTACGACATGTCTGGACTAACCAACAAGCAGCCAAAAGCCAGCGGTCCAATCCTTCAAAGGCTATAAAGCTGACCCCAAAAGAAAGAAAGCGTCCCAGGCCCCAGTGACAAGGGGGAGAGGGCCCAGCATCCCGGTCCGGCTCCCCATGGCAGGCGGCCGGTGCTCAGGGACTGCACCGGCAGCAGACGCTCTGCCTCGGTGCGGGAGCGAGCTCCGAGGTGTCAGGCCATTCTTCAGAGGCTAGGACTGCACTGTGTGAGTGCTCATGCTGCTTGTGGTGTTAAAGAGGTATTTCAAGCCCTGGCTGGTGTGGCTCAGTGGACTGAGCACTAGCCTGTAAACGGAAGGGTCGCCAGTTCAATTCCCAGTCAGGGCACAAGCCTGGGTTGCAGGCCAGGTCCCCAGTAGGGGGCGCCTGAGAAGCAACCACACATTGATGTTTCTCTCCCTCTCTTTCTCCCTCCCTTCCCCTCTAAAAATAAATAAAATCTTTTTTTTTTTAAAGAGGTATTTCCAGCAACATCAGCAAGATGGTGAAAGAGGAAGTCCCAGACCTCATGTCCTGCAGGGGAACCACCGTAACTATGTAAGGCCCAAAAAGCCTTTATGAGAATCCCCAAACCCACTCAATGAGCTGCAGTAGGCAGGTTGACACGTTCAAAGGCCCGAACAGCCACACGGAAGCACTTCCAGTGACAGATCCATCACGCGGAAGCTCCACAGGAAGCCTGAGGACTTGCACGACACTGTAACCCGACCGGACCTGATAGCCCTACAGGAAGCGTTCCCGCACCCCCACCCCCACCCCCACCCCCCAGTAACAGCAGGACGCACACACGCACGGTCTCCTGAGGCACAGCAGGGCACTGCCCGAGATGTGTCGGTGCTGGATGATACCACCAGTCCTACCCAATTTAATAGGGTCAAATCATGCTGAGTTATCTTTTCAACCACAACGGAATAAAACTAGAAGTCATCAAAGAAAGAAAACTGGGAAATTGAAAAACGTGGAAATTAAACAACACTCTTGAACAATCAATGGATCAAGGAAATAATGAGGGGAATTGGGAAATACGTCAGCACAAATGAAAACAAAAACCACAAACACATCCACACGGAGGGATGCGGGCACGGCAGCACCAGGAGGGAAGGCTGCGGCAGCACACGCCGACCTTAAAAAGACCTCAAACCAGAAACCTCGCTGCACACCCCAAGGAACTACAAAAAGAGCAAGGTAAACCCAAAGTTAGAGGAAGGAAGGAACAATAGAGATTATAGCAGAAATAAACAAAACACAGAACAGAAACATAGGGAAAATAAAACTAAGGGTTGTTTTATTGAAAAAAAATATCAACAAAACTGACACCTCCTTAGATGGACTAAGGAAAAAAGACTCAAAACCAGAAATGCAAAAGGACGCATTGTAACTGATGCTGCAGAAACAGAAAAGGTCACGAGAGACTGCTGTGAACAATTACATGCCCCAAAACTGGTCAACCCACAAGAAATGCTTAAGTTTCTGGAAACCTAAAACCTAACAAGAATAAATCGTGAAGAAATAAAAAAAAAGTCTGAATGAACCTATGGCTAGTAAGGAGCCTGAATCAGTAATCAAAGACCACCCCTCAGAGACCCCAGGGCCTGGAGGCTCCGAGGGAGAATTCTATCAAACATTTAAAGAAGAAAGAACACCAGTCCTTCTCCAACGCTTCCAAAATACTGAAGATGAGGGAACACTTCTGAACTCATTTCATGAGGCCGGCATTATTCTGACACCAAGATCAGGCAAAAGTACTACAAGAAAAGAAAACTAGAGACGGATATCCTTCATGGTTATTGATGAAAACCCCTCAGCAAAATACCAGGGAACAGGACTGAACACGTGGAAAGGACTATCTGCACCTCGACAGAGTGGGATTTATGCCTGGAACTCAAGGAGAGCTGGACATGTGGGATACCATCCACGTCACACTGCACAGTAGCAGCAAAAGGACAAAAGCCACACAATTACCTCAGTGCGGGAAAAGCATTGGACACAACCCAGCCCCCACTCACCATAGAAACTCCCGATACACTAGGAACCGAAGGAAACCACGTCAATGTGGGGGAGAGCCCGCAGCTACCCCCACACTCAGAGGTGAAAACCGGGGGCTCTGCGCTCAGACCGGGGACAGGGCAGGACGCTTCCCCCGCTGCCCTTCCTTCTCGCCACGGCGCTGGACACGCCGGCCAGGGCGATCAGGCAGGGAAAAAGTAAACGGCGCCCACACCGGAAAGCAGTAAAACCTCCGTCCACGGATACCATGATCTCGTAGGCAGAAAACCCACAGGGTCCACACACAAGAAACTGTTAGAACCAACAAACAAATTCAGCAACTTTGAAGGATGCAAAATCAGTTGATTTTCTATGTGTTAACAATGAACAATCCAGAAAATAAAAATCCCATTTACAGTGGCATCAAAAAGAATAAAATACTTAGGAATAAACTTAACCAAGGAGGTGAGATATTTGTATACTGAGAACTATAAAAATTGTTAAAAGAAATTAAAGACACAAATTTTAAAAAAAATCCCATGCTCATTGACCGGAAGGCTTGAAACTATAAAAATGTCCTTACCACCCAAAGCAATCTCCAGACTCAATGCAATCCCCACCTAATTCCAAACAGCACTTTGCAGAAATAGAAACAAAACCATTGTAAACAGCATACGGAATAACAAAGGCCCCCAAGTGGGCAAAACAGTCTTGAGAGAGCAAACCAAGGATGAGTCCTCACAATTCCGAGCACAAGACATCACCAAGCTACAGCAACCAAAACAGTGCAGCGCAGACTGCAAGACAGACACCTGGACCCACGGAACAGAACAGAGAACCCAGGGGCGAGCCCTGGCCTACGTGGTCAGAACACCTTCGGCAGGTGTTGAAGGCTACACGGGGGCGGGGGGGAGATTTCCCACACAACGATGTGAGCACACTTCACATAACTGAGTCTGCACTCAAACGCAGTCAAGATGTAAATTATAGACTACGTGTACTGCATCACAATTAAAAAATCCATCAGCCCCCTTTTAAGAAAAGTATTTCTAATTTAAATATACAATCATGATTTTAAGATGTTAAAAACAGAAAAAACTAGAAAAACTGATCAGGACTTTCTGCATGGATTATAGATGAGAAATTGGTGGATTCTATCAACTATAGACACAGCTTTCTCAAATTCTAGTGCCGTAAAAATCTGGTCACTTCCCCACAGATAACTGACTGAATTGGTTTTAGAATGTTCCAAGTTTGTAAGGTTTGCATTTCATTGCACACTCTGACTTTTACACACTGATAACGGTTACCATCAGTGAGTCTGCCAACAAAGAAACTACTCAGGAGTGCGTGCCGGGCACAGACACCAAGAAGAGCAGGCCCTCCGACAGCTGACTGGACTCTGAAAGGGACGCTGGACACGTGGCAGAGGACGCTCCGCCAAGGAGAGAGGTCCGTGGCCCTGCCGGAGTTACTTGGTGTGACCAGAACACCAGGGTGTTGTGTAATTTTAGGAGTCGAATGAAAATACTACATCTAAGTCATTTCTTTTTCCTAAGTCACTTCTTGTATCGAGAATCTACTACGCTAAAAGGAAGACGAGGCCACTTTCGGGCTAGGACCACAGAGCTCTTTGCTTTCTGCAGAGACTGCTGAGTGGGGGAAGGGTAACACAGTCACGCCGGTCTTGGCGTTGGTCTCCGTACCGGTTTTAATGGCAAAGTGGCTCTGGGACGTGCCGTTCGGGGGACTGAAACGGACACCTCCTACCACGACAAAGAGGAGTGAGCAGGACAGGCCGGCCCCTGTACCCAAGGCCGTCCTCAGGACAGGACGACAAAGCGGAGAGAGCAGCGGGAAGCCCCGAGCTGAGGGGAAGCGGTACTCGGAGGGGTGAACTGGTGTGAGGGGTGTGGCTGCGGCCCGGGACAGGTAAGGGTGGGAAGTGCCTGCTGCTTCCCCAGCACTGGGCGCTGGTTCCCCCCAACCCTGCTTCCCGGCAGCTGCAGCAACTCGGGGCTCTGTCCCGGGTCCTCAGCAGTCAAACCTGGGCCATGTTTGGGAGGCCGGGGAACACCAGGGAGACGGGCCAACTCTGGGCAGCTGTCCCCTCCTCCTTCCCCTGCCGAAACCCCAGGGCGGGAGCTTGGCAATCTCAGAGGTGTGTCTGCTCTTAAGGCTACTTATCTCTGGAGAGCAGCGGGTGGGACCCCGACCTACAGGTCACCTGGCGGGGTGAGTGGCTGAGACGCCCCCGCCCCAGGACGGCTCATGCAGGCCGTCCCTTGTGCTGCTGGGCGCCGACGGGAATTGAGGTTCAGCCTTCCCTCACACACGAGGGCCACCGGGGAAGCTGACGGCCCGGGACAGGAGCTCACAGTCTGCGGTGACCAGACCCCGGGGGAACACAGCTAGCTCAGAGGGACACAGTCCACGAGACCGGAAACTCTGTCAGAAGCAGTTATTGCACAGTACATAATGCAGCACTTTTAAATTAGCCTAACAAATACTCTAAAGATATTAATAGAAAACATGAATTGAAGGCATAAGAGAGGGCCAACCAGAAATATTATGCACAAAAGCTCAAACAGCTCAGTAAAGAACTCGACAGATGGAGTAAACGGCAGAAGGGATGGCTATGTCTGAGAAATGAATGAGCAAGCTTCCAGTATCGAGACTGAGGAAATCAAGAAGAATGTAGCAAAGGACAGTGGTATAGAAAATTTTAAAAATTAGAGGAACAAAAATATTTTTTAATTTTTATAAAGACTACCCTTAGATTGAAAAGGTCAGAACCACAACAGTGAAATTTAAAAGTAGCAAAGACAAAACCCTGTAAAAGCTCAGAGAATGAGCAGGCCACACGCGGAAGAACAAGATTAGACAAGATCATGTTCTCTCCATCAACACCAGATGAAAAACAGGACGAGCAGCGACTGCAAATATCTGAGGAAACGATGTGTAACCCAGGGTATCCAGCTAAACTGTCCTTCCCATTCAAAGTCATGGTCACAATAACCGGAGGGATTTAGACGTTTCCCACAAACAGCCACACTGAAAAGGGTGGTTTCATGCCACATCCTATGCCTTACCATAGGATGTGGTAAGAAATGTACGATGCAAAGAGTGTCAAATACACACCTTCGTAAAGACTGCCGCTGTCTCAAAGTTAAGAAAATCTGTCTACCTGCATCCGGAACTAAAGGTCTCCAGGATGATAAGTACCTGGGCTTGGGGTGGTGACAGGGAGAGAAGATCGAGAGATTAGAGACCTTCCCAAAGTTCTAATCCTATTAGAAGAGAATTATAAATTCTATGTTTAAAAAAAAGCAAGAAAAGATTAAAAACATCAAAAGTTAGAAAAATTTAAAGAAGTAAACAAACTTGATCAGCCCATTCTCCCAAACATACCCATAATACAATACAATGTAAATGGCCTAGTCGACAGCTGAACCTCCGCCAGGCGGACACGTTTAATTTAAAAAGATTTTATAAGAAAGCTTAAGATCGGACAAAGGCTGCAAGCAAAAGAATATTCCATCTGGCAAACGCTAGCAACAGAAATCCAGTGACACTAAACTGGTGTCAGATAAGACAGGTGGTAAGAATGGAGAGGGCCACTGGGAAGGCTGAGGCACTCAGTCGAGGCAGCAGTCTTGAGCATGATGCCCTACTAAGTGTCTTTAAATAGATGCAGCACAGACTGATGGAAGTAGCAGGAAAAGCTGCTGATTCTGCAGGGACCCGACAGTTACCGGCTCCACGCGGACCCACTGGCCAGACCCCCCGGACCGTGCACCAGGTTACGGAGGACGTCTCAGTGTTTCAAAAGCCAGGAACCACCCGTCCACGAAGTCTGACAGGGTATTTGAGATGGAAGGTAGAAACAAAGAAACACATTAAAAAGCCACATGTCTGGACCTACAAAGACACGGGACTACATAATTCATGGGACCGAAGAAAGAGTGATAATGGGGCGCAACCGTATGTGAGACTGGGTCGTGAACACGCTACGGGTCAGAAGCCACGGGCTGAGCAAAAGGGGTGCTTCCAGGGACGTCCATTGGGCGCCCCAGCGCGTTAAAACTTACTTATACTCAGGGATGGTTTCCTCAAATGCCGACAGGACAACATCTAGCTCCGTGATGTCACTGCTTCTCTTCGCTTTTAGACACCAAATACGCGCGCAGCCAGAAACATCTAGAACAGCAAGATAAGCCAATGTACTAGACTGATGAGCAATAATGTGGCTCTAGTCCAGGGCTCTGCAAGCCGACAGCAAAAGCCATCCTGCCAAAGTGACGGAAAAAGCTGCGGGTGACGCAGCCTGTGGGAGGGGACACCCCCTGCTCCTGCCCCAGGGCCTAGTCTCAACATGCTGTCTGTGCCTCTCTACTTCTCTCTGTCCCTCCCTCCCTCTTCAGGGAGTTTAGGAGGACGCAGCCTGGGGCACGGCCGGCCGCTGTCTGGGGCACGGCCTCCTCACTGTCTTCAGCAGTCTGACACTGCCAAGGGAGCTCTCCTTTGTTAGCCACACTTTCTAATTTAACCTAACAGTCACTTCTGGAGCACAAGATTTCTCAGTGTGGACGTGGACAGTCATATAAATACAGTAAAACACGAACAAAACCACAGTACATTCTTGAACAAAGTATCTTCCAAAATGGAATTGTAGAATACTTAGGATATGGTAAAATATGATAAGGACCATGTCCTTACATGGTCCCTTTTTGGGTGAGAAAAGCTCAGTAAAAGGATTAAAGAGCAGAGACAAAAAACAGGGTAGTTATTTTGGGGTGATGGAATTATAGGTGATTTTATCTTCCTTTCCATACTTTTTAAATTTTCTAAAACAGACTTTTTTTTAATACCAAGAAAGATACCATAACTTCTCCTTGAAAAGAACTTAAAGAGGAAATGCTTTATTTTATTCTGGAACATTTTTCAATAAACTTTTGAGTCAATACCTACCAAAGAACATGGATGAATCTGAGAAAAGTTATACTAAATGAAAGAAGCCTTACAGAAAAGGTTACATACTAAATGATGTATGAAAATATATTAATGGATATTTTAATAGTAAAATCTAGGTAGTGAGTATATAAATAAATATATTGTAAAATTCTTTTACCATTGTTGTACGTTGAAGATTTTCATGATAGATGTTGGGAAAACAGTTACTCCTAAGTCACATGTTTTAACTTTTTAAAGTGGCAGTTTCACATAATTAAAATTTATTTCTTCCTGGCTGGAGTAGCTCAGTGGATTGAGAGTGGGCTGCGAACCAAAGTGTCGCAGGTTCGATTCCCAGTCAGGGCACATGCCTGGGTTGCAGGCCACGGCCCCCAGCAACCACACATTGATGTTTCTCTCTCTCTTTCTTCCTCCCTTCCCTCTCTAAAAATAAATAAAATCTTTAAAAAATTTTTATTTCTTTAATGAATTAAGAATTTTTAAATGAAACTCTTGAATGATTGTGAAAGCATAAAGTACTAACTACTCCATACCTGTGTCTACAGCTTCATCTCTTGGTTTCTTTCTTTTGCCATGAAACGTCTTCTCCTTTTTCTGAGTTTTCTTTAAAAAAAAATCAGCACAGAATTTTACTTAGAAGTTTTTCTTTTTTTGGAGGAGTGGGTTTTCCTAAGAATTTATCCGAGCCAAGCTGATGACAACTGCTAGGAAGCAAGGCCACAACCGCTCTGAGTTTTTCTTAGAACGACTAAGACAGTATTATCAAACACTGGCAGTTAATATTTTAGCTATGATTCTTACTTACTTCTCAGTTAATATAGTATATAGTTAATTCTATAAATGATCTTAATTGATATAAGGCAACATTGGAAAAAGTAAACTGTGCCCCCCACCCAAAAAAAAAACCACCTTCCAGCTGGTTTTTAAAGAAGATTGCCTTGGAGGAAGTCGAACTTTCATCACTGAGACCATGTGTGGAGTCAGCTGTCTCCAAATCTTGATAAGTAACAGCTTCTCACCATAAACAACCACAAAATGGGGGCGGGGTCTGGCGATTTTGTTGAGGCATTGGACGCGGTGCAGAACCAGATGAGGAAACTCAGTGGGGCCTGCGCATGCTCCCTTCTCACCCCCACGCCCACCCCCACCCCGGGGTGCGACTCCAGACAGCCGCACAGCGCGCGCAGTCCCAGCACACCCCAGGGCGCCGCGGAGGCAGAAGTCACAGAGCGCAGCTCGCTGCGGGCACGGAGAAGTCCGGTTCTCCGGCAGTCCACGTGTGCAGGGTGGGGCCGCAGACAGCTGCCCGGAAAGCAGCCGGCGCGGGACTCGGGACGTGACGGGCACTGGAGGACGAACAATGCTGGGGGAACTGGACGTGGCCAGTGCACGGCCCGCGCTGGCACGGGCGAACACCTGCGCATCCAGCCGCGCTGCGAGCGGCAATCTGCAGTGGGGTGCCGCTGTTCCCAAGGGGGCCAAAACCGCGTCTCTGCATGCGGGGGGTGGGGATGGGATGCAAAAAACCCCCAAACCAAAACCTTAGATATTACAATGCTTTGTAAACTTCCAAAGGGCCCAAGTACACAAACAGTGATGCAGTATATGGGAGAAAAAAATGTCTGAAAAGGCGTCTTAAGGCGGACAATAACGGAAGGGATTGCGGAACACTGCCCCTGCCGAAGGCCCACTGAAGACCCACCGCGCAGCCTGAAACCGGCCTCTGACCAGGGCCGTCAGGGAGGGACCTGCGTCCTGGCGCAGAACCCTAGGATGACCCCGGTGACTTGTACGACTTCCCCCACTCCAGTGTGGGTGGCACCCGTGAACGCGGGAATAACAGCTCCCTCGGTTAGGTTACACTGTCTCTCCACTGTAGCCCGTGGAGAGAGATGCCCCCGCTGGCTTTAATGCGTAGGGGCCCCACGACTAGGAGCCACCGGCAGGCTCCAGGGGCTGAGACCAGAGAGAACCTCAGGCCCCCCCGGCAAGGAACTGAATTCTCCGAAAAACCTCAATAATCTTAGACGAGACCCTGAGTCTCAGATGAGCTTTCACCCTTGTGGAACCCTGAGCTGAGGTGAGCCTGGACTCGTGACCTACAGAAACAGTGAGATTTAAGTGTATGTTGTTTTAAGTGGCCCAGTTTGCGGTAATTGTTATGCAGCAACAGAAAACTAGTACAGAGAGGGAGTCCCAGAGTTACAGCAGCTTGGAAAACACCTTGCTTTTCAAAGGTTGACTCTAACAAAGAATAAAACCAAGCCTACAGAAGTTAAAAATGATGCGCCAGTCACCAAGCTACCTATGAAAATAAGTCAACACTATTCATGAGACACTGTAACACAATTCAGAGTCTCAACAACCTGTCAACAACAATGTCCAACACGCAATTACAAAGTACTAGATTTAAAATGTTGCACAGAAAATGTCACTAGTAGTCAAGACAGAAAATTAAACTGGCCCTGAGGTAGCCCAGGTAGCTGACTTAGAAAACAGAGACTTTAAAGCAGCGATCACAAGCATGTCCAAAGAAGTAAAGGAAGTGATGGTCTTAATGATCAGATAGGGAATCTCAGTAGAAACTATATTAAAAAATAAAAATTAAAAAAAATGGTAGAACTAAAAACCACATAACTAAAAAGTCCGTGGGTAATGTTTTAGTTCGTTGTGGCTGCTGTAATAAATTACCACAACTTGGTGCCTTAAAAGACCAGAAATGTATTCACCCACAGTTCTGGGGCTCAGAAGTCCAGAATCGGTTTCAAAGGGCCAAAATCAAGGTGCTGGCAAAGACATATTAAGATTTGATCAAAAAGTATATGTCAAGAATCTTACAATAGAACACACGTGACCCAGAAATCTTATTGTAGCATTTTTTTTTTCTGAATGATCGAGGGTGCACACGAAGATTTGGCTGGAGAGTCATCAAAGCGCTTTGAATTTGTTTAAACGCCGCCATTCCCGAGTGCGAGAGGAACGGACCGCGGCTCTCACGGGAATGAAGTGTCGTCGGACAGCCCTGAAACGGTAGTGTGGAACACTGGACGGCAAGGACAAGGCCCCCCTGAGGAAGAGAAAAGCTCAGGGAGAGGACTGAAGACCGAAGAGGACGACAGAAGGACAGGAGCTTTTAGGCCACGGCCGCACCGCCCCGCACGCGCCCAGTCTCGTCTGATCTCAGGGGCTAAGCAGGGTCGGGCCTGGTCAGTGCTGGATGGGAGGGATACAGGATACTTCTCTTCCTTCCCATACCTTATACATCAAACTATTTTTATAATAAGATATTTAAAAATCCCTTTAAAAAAAACTGGAGGAAAGATGAAAATTGTTGTATTTTCCTGCTACACATGTTTCAATCAACTTTTTCTTGCCAAGGGGACGGCAGTCTCTCTCTTACCAGTTGACTTTTGGTTGCCAGGGTCTCTTTTTCACCAGAGGACTCAGCACCTAGAGGTCCTGTCTTCTGGGGAGTGCCCAGCTCCTCCGGGATCTCTGGGAGCTCCGGAGACGACGCAGCGTCCCGTCGCTGGCCACCTCTGTTCTCTGCTGGTGCGCCTTCCACGATCACACCCCTTCCGTCACAGCTGCCGGAGTCCTCGCTGATGGGCTTGGGCTTTCTTCTCGGCTGCGTCAAGAAAACAGCACGGCTGGTGTAGAGAATGCACATGCTTGTCCTTCTTACTGTCATTGTAGCTACCCATCAAGTCCACACCTGTCGTTTCTAAACCTCCAGGTGGAACACCACAGGGAGATGGCAACGACTAGGGGATAGGGCAGGAAACCTAGACTAAAGAAAGCTCCAAATAAATACCCCAGTGAGTCAGTCTGCCTTTGTGAATCACAGCCTGAACACGTGACCCGGGTGTGAAAACTGGCCACGAAAAACACTTCAGATAAAAAAAATTTCACGTTTTAGTTTTTTTTTAAAGATTTTATTTATTTATTTTTAGACTGGGAAGGGAGGGAGATAGAAAGAGAGAGAGAAACATCAATGTGCAGTTGCTGGGGGCTGTGGCCTGCAACCCAGGCATGTGCCCTGACTGGGAATCGAACCTGCGACACTTTGGTTTGCAGCCCGCGCTCAATCCACTGAGCTACGCCAGCCAGGGCTATACGTTTTAGTTTAAAAAAGTACCTTCTAAAACATAATACTCTTTCTCTATGAAAAATGCTGCTATGGAACTTTTTCCGTCTGCATCCAATCTAAACAGGATAGGAAATATTTCATAAAACATTTTCTCCACTCGCACCCAAACCAAGCAGGATACGAGATATCTCACTGATTAAGGTAGAAGAGAGAACGCTCCTCCATACCTTTTTTGCACTACTCTTTATGAACTCGTTTTCGCTTTCTTCAATTTCAGGAGTGCTCACACTGCACCAAAGGAGAAGCCGTCAGTCTCTCGCGCACATTTCACTGTTATTCACACATGTCTTCTTTGAGCTGCTCGTCCGACAGGAAAACAAGCCCAATTTAATGAGATCTCCTGCTTGTCCTGGCTGGGGCTGCCACCTCCCCAGATTTATTGATCTCGTCTCCCACACTGTCCCACACCAGGCCAGGTCAGTTTATCCTCGGCAGGAGAGTACCTGTAAGTGTCCCGTTACAGCAGCACCTTGTGGTCATGTCTGAGAACTGCACCCTCCTCCTCCAAGCTACCTGTCCCAGGAACGGGGGCTAGCATTTGTACTGAAAAAGCAAACCTGCACCCACTAGGCCCACCGTTAGGTGGAATGAAAGGGAACACGCCTCTTGTCCTTTGGAAAAGAAAAGTAGCCCTAAACTTCTGATGAGACAGGACTGCTTTCATTTTTTCATTCAGTTCAATGCAGTAAACACGGAACACCAACCTCAAAAGGCAGAGTACAGTGAACAGAACTGCTTTAAAAACCGCATCTTCCTTGGTTCAATGTCTGGCAGGAAGACCAAAGGTCATGCCGGGTGACGACTTAGCGAGCAACAGACAGGGAAGATGCGGCTACATGACTGGGCGGTTAGGAGAGACAGCATGGTTATGACCCTTGAGCTGACTTGTGAAAATACTTGTCCAGGCAGGAAATAAAAGGAAGGGTGTTGAAGGCAGGAGGAAAAGCAAACGTAAAGCCTGGTGGTGTAGAGCAGCTGGCGCATTGGAGGCATGTGACGCAGGGTGCAGAGAAAATGCCCTGTGGAGGAGAAGGCCGTGCCAGGTGGTCAGTTATGCAGACGACCTCAGAGGGACGTCCTGATTTAGAGTTCTGCTGAGTGGGATATTAATTTTTCTTTTTTGTTTTTTTTAAAGATTTTATTTATGTATTTTTTAGAGAGGGAAGAGAGGGAGAAAGAGAGAGAGAGAGAAACATCAATGTGCGGTTGCTGGGGGCTGTGGCCTGCAACCCAGGCATGTGCCCTGATCGGGAATCAAACCTGTGACACTGGTTCGCAGCCCGCGCTCAATCCACTGAGCTACGCCAGCCAGGGCCGGATATTAATTTTTCAAATGCGGTTCATACTTCCACAATATATTCAACAACTGGAACTGACCTGTTACCTAACAGAGGTCTGTAAGTCAAGGACTTGCTCTAGCTAATAATTTACCATCAGTACGATAGTGCTGAAGAGCTAGTTCTTCATTGTGTACTTTGTTCTCAGGTGGTCTCTATGGAGTCATTTTCACCTGGTTTACCTGATCCTGCCATCATGCACATTTGTGAACTCAGAGCAACGCTCCTTAGAGACAACACATCCGCAGCCGACAGTGCCCTCTGGCTTCCCTGCGTGACGCTCAGCCCGTGTGCTCTCCTTCCGCCCGCACCAGAGAGCATCCCTCTCGTGAGGGCGGGGGTGCCAGTTCGAGAACCTCCGACAAGTCAACTGAAGTGCCAGTAATAAACCATTGCCTCCCTCCTTGTTCCATCTCGAAGTCGCACCACCTCCACGGGCAATGTTTTCTAGGACGACCGGGTGTCAATTACATTTTTTGGTTGTTCAATTACACTTGATATTTACTAAGGTACAACTGACATAACGTTAGTTTCAGGTGTGAAATGTGATAATCACATATTTGCAAATATTGCAGAGTGAGTTAACATCTGTCACCATACGTAGTGACAAAATTGTTTTCTTGTGATGAGAACCTCTAAGATCTGCTCTCTTAACACATGCATTATAGTATTAACTACAGTCGCCAAAGTGACCGTGGCTTTTTAAAAATAACTGGAAGTTTGTACCTATAATTAATTATCAAAAGTAATGTCGGTTTTTGAAAAACTAAGTTTTTATGTACCAGGTTCTCTTAAGGAAAAACCGAAGTTGGCCCAAAACATCTTTTAAAAGCTTTTTTGAATAATAAGGTTCTGTCCTAAAGAGCTTCCCAGAAACCCCACTAACCACGAACAAACCACCGCCTGAACGCAGGCGCACCTTCTTTCTGCTTCGTCCCCTGGAGGAGCCGCGGCGACGAGGGACCCGCAGTGTCTGGAGAGCTCCGCGTCGTCCGTGTATATGGCCGTGCTGTGCAGCGGCGGCTCTGCAAGACAGTGTTCAGAACGCCGGCTTTCGTACGGGGGAGGACGGAGCGATCTTTGTTTAAACGGCTAACAAAACCAAGATCAACTGTGCAGCCTACTTCCCCAAGTGTTTCTGACCTCACACGGCAGCAACCAGAACCTGAAACCACCTCACTGATAGACCCAAATCAGGTGAACCGGCAGTGGGTATTTATCAGTTCTAACCTGGGTCACTGTGCCTACATGAAAATGGTTCAACGAGATACACGATAAAACAGGAAGTCTGACTTTGCCTTCCCTCCCCTGATGGAGTGGCACACTCGCTGCAGTGATGACCGCCCCCACGGCTCACGCACTCCGGGGACTGAGTCCCCTACCCGACGACCTGACGAAGCTCCCGGTGCAGGGGCCTCAGTTTCTGTGGAGGAAGGGCCCTTTGGGGAGGAATTCCAGGCCCCCCTCACGCTCTGTCCTGTCTCTCTGCTGGACTCTGCACGGCTAGAGCCTTCAGCTAGTGTGAAAAGCTACCCCAAGTCGCTGGGGGAGGGGCGCTCCCGCCTGCTCAGGAAAAAGGGGCCACGGGAGAGACCTCACCAGGAGGAGCACCGGGCGGAGGCGGGGCCGGGTGGGGAGCCTGGGAGAGGGAAGGCGGGCGGCCAGTGGTGGTGGGGCTGAATGGCCTGGGATCGGTCGGGCTGCTGGGAAAGAGCCAAGCAACCATTTCTTCACGCTCCAATCTTAGCATGACAGTGCAAATTTAAACATCTTCAAATACACATCTTCTTAAACAAGGAACATATCAACTGCATGATTTTAAAGTAATATACTTTGCATTGCCCTCAACTAGACAAAGGGATTTATTTACTACTGCAGATAACAAGGGGAAAAAAGATAATTAGATTAATCCTGAATCTCCCTATGTGACCAGCCATACAAACAGGAGTCTTAGAACTCAGCAATGAAAAGATAGCCCAATTTAAAACTGGTTCGAGGGTATGTATGTCTTCAAAGAAGATATTATACAGGTGGCCAACAAGCAAAGGAAAAGATGCCCAACCCCACTGGTCACCAGGGAAAGACAACTCAAAACCACACGAGACGCCACAAGGCGTCCATCCGGATGGCTGCTGTCCAGAGAGAAAACGAGTGAGTGAGGGGAGAAACCGACGCCCTGTGCGTCGCTGGTGGGAATGTAGGAGGGCACAGCCACTGTGGGAAACGGCACGGTGATTCCTCAGGAGAATCGAACGCAGAATCACCATGTGATACAGCGACTCCCTTCTGGGTTTCTGCCCCAAAGCAGTGACAGCAGGAACTCAAACGGGTATTTGCACGCCCGTGTTCACAGCAGCCGAAAGGTGGAAGCAAGCCGAATGCCCACCGACAGAGGAATGGACGAGTGTGTGTGCACAGGGTGGGGCCTTTTTCAGTTTTAAAAGGACACTCTGACACGTGCTGCAGCGGGGACGGAACGTGAAGACATGTGCCGCGTGAAACAAGGACACGCAGGACGGACGACACTGCACACCCCCTCTCACGGGGGGTCTCTGGAGTAGTCGCAGCCCCAGTTGCCGCAACAAGGAGCTGTTGTTCAGTGGGCCTGGGGCTGCAGGGGACCGGAGGAGGTTCTGGAGCGGACGGCGACGGGGTCTGCAGAACAACGCGCGTGTGCTTCGTGCCACAGACCGGCACCCTGCACTGTGCTGGAAGTGGTGAATTTCACGTTACGTGCATCTTATCGCACGAACACAGTGAGAGACCACTTCGCACCAAGAAGGGTGGCCGGGAGACACAGCCGGACATAACGAGTGTGGCGCAGAGGGGGCGACACCGGACCCCTCTGACGGCGCTGGGGGGAAGGAAACGCCGAGCAGCTGCGTCGTGCAACAGCCCCTCAGAGGCCGACGAAGAACTGCCGTGCAGCTTAGGAGTGCCGCTCTCAGGTCTGTATCAGAAAGGAGCACGTCCATGAGGAAACTGGTGCTTGCACGTTCACGGCAGGGTAACTCACGATGGCCAAAGAGCGAAACAACCCAATGCGCGCGCTCCAGCCGACGAGTGGGCAGCAGGATGAGCTCTACCCAGCAGTGGAGCGCTGAGCTGAGAAAACTTCCAGGAATGACATGGACACCTGCTACGCCATACGTGAATCTTGAGGACAGCACCCCACGTGAAAGAAGCCAGACACGAATGACCGCGAGGTGCAGGGACAGGCAAGTCCACGGAGACGGGACGCGGGCTGACGGCTGTGGGGGGCCGGGAGGGCGGAGGACGAGCAGCGACTGCTAGCGGGTGCGGGGTTGCTGTGCGGGGTGATCAAAACGTTCTGGAGTAGGCAACGGTGAGCTGTGCAATCTCAAGAATGTTTCCACTACAGCTGACATACAGTGTCAGTTTCAGATGTACAACGCAGTTGCCAGACACTCATGAGACTTATGGAGTGATCACCCGATGGTGGCTGTACGATTTTGTGACTCGACTAAAACAGCGCTGAATGGCACACGTTGAAAAGGGTGAATTCTTTGATTAACAGGAAATTGGACTGAAAAAGACTGACACCAAATTAAAACCAGGTGAGGGTATATATTTTCAAAATTCCCTTAAAACCGACTCCAGCAGAAACGTCTGACCACTACTGTTCTGCACGTGCAGGCAGGTGGCACTGTCTGCGCTGTTCCTGGCCGCTGGAGAGGCCAGCGACATGGGGACAGAGGCAGTCCTATCCGGACGCCCTGCAGTCAGCCAGGCTCCGGCCGGTGCCCGCCCACTCCGGGAGCACAGGCGGAGCTCTCCCCGGGCCCCTGTGGCGAGTGTCCTTTGTGTCGGCGTGTTTAAGGAAAGTGAAACATCAACGTCTTCTTCCTAGCTCAAGACCCCGCTGTTGGTATGGGGTAAGAGATACATTTTATATTCTTCGTGTTACAGGTACCACACAGCTGTCCTAATCCGACTGGCTTGTTAACACATGCTACCAGAAGAGCTCTCCTTTCATAATGCTTAACAGAATTCTTAGTTCCAATGTATTTAAAAGTGAGAAAAATTAATTCAAATTATAAAGAATGCCCCAGACATTACATTCATATGCAGACATCCGAGTTTTATATTTGAAGATATTTCTACATTTTTATTAGGAACTAGCGTAAATGTTGCTTAAACTACTTTCAAGTTTTGGGGATAAAGGTCTAAAATACTAACCAAAGGATTCATAAGGCTCTTCATCTTTCTCGTTCTCACTCAGCTTGCCCACGCTCGAGAGGTCAGAGAACTCGTACACTGCCGTGGGCAGGTGCGGCCGGCCGCCGGCTCTCTGGAAGCAAACACAGTCACAGTCACAGTCACCGGACTGGCGTTCGGAACAGGAACACCCCCAGATGGAGCGACCCAGCAAGGACACCGCTGCCGTCACTTCTGGGGGACCCGGGATCCCCCCGTCACCTCGGGCAGGAGCCGGCAAACTTTTCTGCAACGGACCGTGAGCCAGTGCACTGGGCTCTGCAGACCGCTGGTCTCCCCGGCGACCGAGCGCGGCCGCTCGCGCTCCCAGCGGAACGCAGCGGGACGGAGCGGAAGGACCCGGCTGCGCTGCCGCCAGAGACTCCAGATGCAGGTACTGGTGACGTTTGAATCTCACACCCTTTTCGCGTGTCATGGCATATTTTTCTTTTGACTTTATTTCAACCACTTAAAGACATAAAAGCCACCATTAGCTTGCAGGGCTGCAGAGACACGGAGGGCAGGCCGGGTGGCCGCCGTTTGCCAACTCCTGATCTAAGGAAAGCCACGGGCCTCCTCCCAGACACACGCCCACAGGTCTGAAGGGCCGTGGAGAGTCCTGAGGCCACTCCACGGGGCCAGAACTCCCGACTGAAGGAGGGAGACCAGGGTTTCCGGTTCAGCGTGCTAATGAGCCCATGACGTGTGCTGCCCCGAACCCTCATGAAAGGTCGACACAGAGAGGAATGAGAAGAACGCCCGAAGTAGCTCTGGAAAATGTGGAAAGGTGCCACTAACAGATGAGGAAATTCTGGGGGGATAAAGATGGAGCAGAACTGACAAACGAAACAAAACTTTACTGCCGACAGGCCCTCAGCGAAAAACCGTCTGCGGAGTGTTTGGGCTGGAATGCCCGAGAGGAGCCACGGACAGCTCCTCCAGCCGCACTGCTGCTAAGGCAAGCAGTCCCCAGTGCACAGCTGCCTTCCACGGGAGGGAGCAGGTGGGAGAGCCGAAGGATCCACCCCAGGCACTCTGGCCTCCGGGCAGCCAGGGGCACCCAGGGTCACCCAGGGCGGGGAACTGAGAAATCCATCCAAAGAACAAGCACCCCAGGGGGTTGGTGGCAGTGCAGAGCTGAGGGACCCTGCAGGAGCTGCCCCCCCCCCGCCCGCCCCCCCCGCCGAGGTAGAAGAGCCACCCCCCACCAGCAAAGGCGGGTGTTAGGGCAGCAGGCAGGAGACCACACAGGCCAGACAGCCAGGGCGCAGAGAGGAACCCCTGACCCCAGCACCCTGAGAGCGGACACCCTCCTTCAGCGGTCCTACATCTTAACACGACCCTGGAAAGTAATTTAAAATTAGCGATCAAGAGTGTTCAAGAAATGTCCCTGCCTTTAACACAGATTTGTTCTAAGACTGTACCCTAAAGTAAACTATAACGTGGACTAAGCGGAATATTGCAAAATCATTAAAAATTGTTTAAAACTCTAACATCATAGAGAAATGGCTATAAGTGAAAATAGCAACATACACAAAGTTGTACAATTTTGAATCATGTCAGTTATCCAAGAAAAAATAAAACCAACCTAGGTCTAGGAAAAAGGATTCAAAACGTTAACGATTTTCCCCCATTACACTGGAAACAGTGGGACGAAGAGGAAGGCGCCGTCACTGCGATGAAACCCTGAGGCTCCCACCACACGTCAGTTATTCTGCATTGTCAGTTATTCTGCATGGTCAGTTATGAGAACATTGAGGCAAAACATAAAAAGATAACTTACGTGTTCTGTGGAACGCGTTCTTCCCACAGTGTCCTTTGAATATCTAGCACTATTAAACAGCAAAAAACACACACAAAAAGTTAGGAAATATTAAAAAAGTAAGTAGGGAAAACACTGGAACTTGCAACCCTTCCAAGCATTTTCTTTCCAAATCCTATTCCTCATCACCTGCACTAGTAACGTGCACCCGGTGAAATGCAGGTGACGGCAAAGTCATTGTAGAAAGCAGAACGCACACCTCACAAATTTAACTGTACTTTTATAGGTCAAATCATATCACCCCCGTACACAATAGCACCTCCCCCCCAGGAACAGGGAAGAGTCCTGCTGTTGTCACCCTTTGTGCCCGAGGTCTTGGTCAACAGCAGGGACGGAGGGTTCCTGCAGGACTGAGCAAAGTGGGGGCGCACTGACGTGTGTGCAGCACCCGACCCCCGCTCCGCCCTGCGCCTGGCTCTGGCGTGCGCCTCGTCCCCCTCAGCCCCAGCAGTCCTCTGAGGTCGAGGGGAGCCCCCTAGTGCTGCAGGTGTGTATGTGCCCAGAGCAGCACAGTCAGGGAGGGGGGGCCTGCGTTCAACTCTGCGTGCGTCAGTTCAGACCCAGATCCACCCCTTCCTGCTCCCTCCCCGGGGCAGCAGGGTAACAGGGAAAAGCTGCCCATCTTCAGCCACCTGGGTGTAAACAAGACGGAACAGCAGTGACGGGTGTGAAACCTGGAAACGAGAGCGGCAGGAAACGGCACTGTCGGTGAAAACGTGCTGCGGGCCCTCTGCCCACCTGGCACTGTTCAGGGCTCGGGGCTGCGACCCGGACGCATGCCCTGCGGACACCCGTTTGGGGACAGCAACCTCAGTTCACAGCGTCTGAACCAGTATTTCTCTGAGAAACTTTTAGGAAAGTTACAAGAATAGTATAAGGTCCTATGTATACCCACTGACCAAGTTCACACTTGTTTACATCGTGTCTCATTTGCTTCGCACACGCACGTGTGTGTGTGCGTGTGTGTGTGTGTGTGTGTGTGTGCGGTAAACTGGAGATACTGTGCACCTTCGCCCCCAAATACTTGTATGTCTTTCCTAAGACAGGGCCAGTTACAATGTCATTTCCAAATCAACAAATTTCATGACATTATCTAATCCACAGTCTGTATCCAAACTTCATCAACGGCCCCATAACATCATTTAGGTTTTCCCCCTAGCATTAAAAAAAAAAAAGAAATACATCCAAGAGGATATAAAATATAAGGTGGCCCTGGACACAGTATGTTCATAAGCCTTTTGTCACACATGTCCACGTGTGTACACTAACTGGGCTCTAAAACAGCGTGACCGTTATTCACAGCAAACAAGAAGCTGCAAAACTGCTTCAGGCTGTGTGGTTCACCAGCATCCAGCATGGGGATCACCTGTGGGGCTCGTGCAACCACCTCGGTGGCCCCGCCCCAGAACCCGGGACTCCGTCGGCCTGGGATGGGGTCTGACATTCCCACCTGTGCCAAGTCCCTGCTGCCCCCCGGTGCTGCTCGTCGGGGGCCCCCACTTGGAGAACCACTGCCTTACTTGGTTCTCAGACCTGAAGAAGACAGAACAGGGAGCCACTCTATGGCATTTATGACTTGGGGGTTCAGAAGAGTTCAGTGACTTACCAATGGTCACAGAGCCAAGTAACAGAAATAGGACTAGAAGCCAGATTAACCCAAACACTTCCCAGTCACCTGCCTTGACTGTGCTCAAAAAAGAAAAAAAAAAAAAAAGTCAAGTTCCAAAAGATGGAAAGGTCTGTGATACCACAGGTAAAAACGTTGGTGGATGCACGCCAGCACATTTTGGAAGGAGGGGTGAACGGATTTCATGAGTCTCAAAGATAAACATGTTTACATATATAAATACATAAGTGACTTATGTTCTACATAATATACAGAATATTAAATATGTGTGAGTGTGTATGTGTGTGAGAGGGAGAGAGACCAATGCTGGGCCTATCAAACCACGTTTAACTCTGGCCAGCTGCCCTTTTAGGCCTTATATTTTTTTCCAAATGCCCTCCGCACTGGGCACAGAACTGTCCTCCTAGCTTGCTCCACCTCCCTGCTTTGTCCTGCTCCAGCCTCTCCTCTGAGCTATAGGCTCGCCTCCACCCTCGCCCCACCCTACAAAGGCCCCCTCCTCCAGGCAGCCCTCCACCACCCAGGTGCAGCTCCTCAGTGCAGGACCTGGTGCAACAACCACAGCAAAGGGAGGCCTTTAACTGCGCACAGACACTGCCAGCAGGACATCTGGCAATAAATCCACAAAGAGCATTTTAGGACGCGGTTCTGCAACCTGTTTTTAAGTGCATGTCTTTTTTCATGAAAAATACATTGTTTACTGGACTTAAGGTGGTAATCACATCCCAAGTATATAAATGTCGAATCACTGTGTTGTACACGTGAGACTAATATAATATTATGCGCCAATTACACTTGAATAAAAGATGTTTTCAATTGCTGGACCCATTCTCAAGCGCCCCTTTTAGGAATAACAAGCGGCAGCTTTGTCGCCCCTCATCCCCTCCCTGCCGAGATTTGGGTTCAGCTTTAAAGTCTGGTTTGTGCCACAAACACGGCAAGGACTTGAAAATAATACTGACCACCGGCCAGTTCGACGTCGCAAGAGTGAAATGTCTGGCAAGCAGCAGGCACTCAAACAAGTGTCTCGTTTGGAGTCTGCTTTAGACAACACTACCCACGCCAAGTAGTAGTGACGCTAACCAACGTCCTTTCCTGCTCGCCCGGCAGTTTAAGGCTACAACTGCATAAAGCTCGCCGCAACCCTATAACGTTGGGAATAGTTCCCATTTTACAGACGCGGACACCGCGGCCCAGAGTCACACGGGGGAACCCACGCAGCGGTGGGGCAGGGACTCCCCGCTACGCAGCACGGCTGGGAGAGGCACACGCCGCGGCAGGATGCAAAGAAGATAAAGCCGGTCCCCGGCCCGCGCTGCCAGGGACCGCATCGCTTACCCCACGCTTCCCTGGGTCCGAACCCGCCACGAAGAAGCCATCGCGGTCCCGACTGCTCTCCTAGCCGCCAGAGACCACAAATCTCCCGCCAACCCCGCGCCGCTACCAGCAGCCAATCCGGGAGCTCCGCACGCCCGTGGGCACCCTCTAAGCCCCGCCCCCGAACCTAGTATTCCGGCGGCCAGGGCTCCGCCCAGTCCAAGAGCACGAGGGAAAGTCCGGCCTGGCATACAACAAAAGACGGAGCTGGAGTCTACGCCTTACAACCGGTTGCTGACGGCCCTCTCAAACGCCACAGAGTTGCCGAGCTTTCCCTCCCACCCGCGCCCTGCGCCAATTGTCCCGGCGCCTAAACTCGAAGCCGGAAGGGGAGGAGTCTGTGCTGAAAAATCAAAGGGCAATCAACTGAAAGGCGGATCCAAATCCCGGGGCGGGTCGCCAGCTATTCAGACGCCTGCGCAGTTGTTTAGTGTAATACAAGGTCAAGTACGGAGGATTTGACTTCTGTTTGGCTGCCCTTAACCACTATCCTCAACTTGGCATCTTTATTTATTCACCAATAGGGAGGGCCCTAACCACACCATAACTAAAAATGAGCTCAAAATGAATCAAAGGCTTCATCCTAGGACCTAAAACTATGAAAGTCCTAAAAGAAAACAGAGCAAAAACTTCGTGATGCTGGATTTAGCAATGATTTTATGATATCATTCCGGAGATGGAGAGCAAATGGGTGGTTGTGTAACAATGTGAACGCATGGGCTTAAGGAGTGCCGCTGAATTGTACAGTTAAAAGTGGTTAAAATGCTAAATTTTGTTATGTATATTTCACCACGATAGAAAATTGTTAACATATCTCATGCATACAGAAGAAAAAAAGGAGCGCCTATGTACTCACCACTGGATTAGGAAATAAATCATTATTATTCCTCCCAAGGATACATTTTATCATTCCCATGCTTTTCTGCCTGGTGTATCCCTAAATGATGCGTTAATTATCATATATTTCTTAACCTTATGTAAATATATGGTATGTATTCTACAAGTGCTCTTTCTTACTGAAAGCTATGATTTATCCACATCGATGCACATAGCTGTAGATCATTCATGTTCATTCTTTGGAATACATTATGTAGATATACTATATTTATCCCTTCTGGGTATGGGTAGATCAGGTGTCTTGGGTTTTTTTGCTATTACCACAGTGCAGCACTAAACATTTTTGTGTGTTGCTGGCTACACGCCTAAGAGTTTCTCCAGGGGTAGAGTCAGTAGCTATATTATTACTTCTTCCTTTAAAGGCACTTTCAGCTTTGCATGATAAGAGACAATTTTTTTTAAAGATTCTACTTATTTATTTAAGATCATTTATTTATTTTTAGAGAGGGAAGGGAGGGAGAAAAAGAGAGAGAGAGAGAGAGAGACAGAGAGACAGAGAGAGAGAGAGGAACATCAATGTGCAGTTGCTGGGGGCTGTGGCCTGCAACCCAGGCATGTGCCCTGACTGGGAATTGAACCTGCGACACTTTGGTTCACAGCCCGCACTCAATCCACTGAGCTATGCCAGCCAGGGCAAGAGACAATTTTTACACATTGTTTTGTAGACTACAACTTACACCTCCATCAGCACTACATAAAAGTCCCCTTGGCTCCATGTCCTTGTTGATACTTAGAATTTTTAAGACTTTCAAATGTTACCTAACTAGGGAGCTGAAACAGTATCCTATTGTTTTTGAATTGCATTTTCCTGGAGCGGGCCATCTTTTCCTTGTTTATAGGTCCTTCCTGATTCCTCTTCAGGGACATGCGGTTCACCCCACCCCAGAATCCCTGGGGCAACTGCAAGAGAAGAGGAAAGCGCCTTCGAAGAATGGAAGGGTGTTCCCACTGATGGGCTCCTGGAGCTTGAAAGTTGTCGCCCCTTAAGAGAGTTGACAGGCAGCTTCATTTTTCTGGGAAAGGTTGTGGTCAAACCTTCTGTGCTTATGGGTCTGAAAAGACAGGAAGAGGTTCAGGACTCAGGATGGAAAGAAAAACTCAACCCAAATAGGTTTACTGAATAGAGGAATTTCTGGACTCATGCCACTGAGAAGTCCAGAGATAGGATGGCTGTGGAGCTCAGTTTGATCTGGGAGCCACCAGCGTTCTGAATGCGTTTTCTTGTGCTTCCTGTACGCCACTTTTTCCCACAGGCTGATTTCTATCATCATCATCATCCTCATCACTTGAATTTGTGGAGCATTTACTATGATCCAGCCATTGCTGTAAGTGCTCAGTCCCTCTTAGGCCACTTAACCCCTTCATGATACCCCTATGTGGTTGGTGCCATAATCCCCCTGGGCACATGACAAGGCTAAGGAGCAGTCCCACAGGCAGTGGTGGCGGCACCTGCATTAGATCTCAGGATTCTGGCTCAGAGCTTGCACCTGGCAGCCATTCTGTGTCACGCATCTGAGTTCCACTGTTCAGAGAAACGCTGTGTATCAACATTGCCAGGAAAATGCCTAAGATGTACTCTAATTGGCCCAGCTTTGGTGACCTGCCTGGCTGCACCAGGGCCTTCCTGAGAAATGGAACCATTAGGATATATATGCCAGTTCCATGTTTGGGGATTATTAGCTTGATGTTTAAATGAGAATAGAAACAAGAATAACTGTTTTTATCTTACAGAATTATCATGAAGGAGTAAAGAATATGTAGGCCCCTGGATACCTAGAAGGACTTATTTCCTATTGCGTCTCTGTTTTTAACCTGGGGAACCCTCCGGTTGAATTTTCCCTTCAGTATCTGTCCACTAGAGGTCAGATAAAGAATGAGACAGGAGATTTGAAAACGTATTTGGAGGCCAGAGCTACTCATTTGCAGATACTGTAAATATCAGCTCAAAGTTCAAGATTAATAAGACTAGATGTCTTCAACACCCTTGCTGAACTCACGGCCCCCTCCTTGGGCATTATCCCCTCCCCGAGGTTACCAAATCCATTCCTGTAAGTTTCCCTGAAGCCAAAGAGAATGATTTTCCAGTGTGAAAAAGAAAATAACTTACTTCTCAGATTTCCTGACTTTCTTTTTGCACTTTCTACAGTAGCAACAAATTGTTGGGTACCTGGGAATGAGCCACCAACCTTGGCAGCTTTCATCTGGAAGAAACTAAAGTCATTATCTGTGTTAAACACACCAACTGCTCAACATCTATAATCATGACACAGCAAAACAAACTCGAAGTGTCCCGCACCAGGGGGGAAGGGTGAGGCAAGGGATCAGGAGACTGTCACTCGGATAGTCCCTTTCAGAGGAACTAAAATTCAGAAAGGACGTCTTATTTGGTGCCCATTAAAGTTGGAGGGCAGAAAGGTTTTTCCATTGCTGCAAAAGGCAGTGACAGGAGACAGCTCCCCGGGTCACATGCTTTCTGACGGCTCCCTGGCTCCCGGCAGAGGCTGAACTTAATTGCCCTGTAACTAATGTTCTACTTTTTCCAGACCTCACTGGCACTGCTCCTACCCAAGCTGAGGTCACATGGCGAAAAGGTCCCAGCCCCACATCAGGCAGCTGTGGTCACATGTCTCAGATTCCATGCCCAGCACCCTGCAGGGCTGAGAGAGGCTGGTCGGGGATCCTGGCAGGAACATTCTAGCAAAACGCCAGGACTTCTCTAGCCAAGGAACAGCTACTTCCAACCTGCATAGGAAGTACTTCTGTAACTCAAATGAGCAGAGGAAATAAAATGAAATGACAGCCCAAAGTAAAATATTTTCCTAAGAAGATAAGGGGGGAAAGGGTTTTGGAATAGGATTTCTACAGTAGAGACAAGTGTCCAGGATTCTTGCCCAAGCTGTGGTTCAAAAGAACTTTCTGGAAAAGTTTCCAATGACATTGCTCACTCGGACACTACTTTGGGGCGGCCTGAGAGCGCAGATAGCGGTGAGCTGACCTTGTTCCGAGAGTCCTGGGCAACTACGGTCCTTCCTGCCGTGGTCCCCGTTCTGCTCAGCTGAAATGCGACGCTGAGCCTTTGCACACGCTCAGGTCAGACAGGCTTCCCTCTGTAGCCCCTGGTGACACAAAAGGCCTTCCTGGGACCCTCTCTAGGAGGGAAGAGCTCCCTCCCATTCTCTGGCTGCTGTACCTCACAGGCTCACTCACTGTCCCCTTTGACCTTGTCACAGCATCACAGCATAAAAGGATCATTGCCACCCTCCCCTCCACCTCACACCACAGCTGGCTTCAACCATGCTCCACAGTTTCTCTCCTGGGCTTGGAGAATCAAAGAGAGCTTCCTAGAGGAAGTGACAGCTACGATCTAAGTGAAATGTGGGAGTAGGAGCCAGCCAGGCCAGGGTAAGAAAGTGCTCCTGGGAGAAGGCATGCACCAAGTCCCAGCAGTGAGCAAGAGCATGGAGCATTCTGGGAGCTAGAACAGGTTCAGTGTGGCTCAGTGGAGTGGGGGACGCGGTGAAGGAGGAGGCGAGCAGGGACACCCCAGTTCCTTGCAGCATTAGCATCACCTGGAGCACATTCAAAAGGCAGAATTTCAGGCCCCATCCAGGATTATTGAATGAGAATCTGAATTTTAAGATTCCCTAGGGGACAGGATGTACAATAAAGTTTGAGGAGACCCTCCTCGAAGTAGTTCAGGTGTGAGAGCACCAGGAAACCTCTGAACCATTAAGGAGGGGGATCACGTGACAAGTCTTGTGACTTAGAAAAGTCATTCTTGCAGCAGAGTAGGGGGAAAAGTGAGTGAGTTCCTACAGACCCACACAGGAGACAAGGAGGCGCAGTGGTCCTGTACGGGCTGCAGGAATAAGGTGTGGGGGACATTGGACAGATTCCACAGACGACGGGAAAAAGATCCAGCAAGCTGGGGGCGCTGCGGCCAACTGGGGCAGCGCTGGGACTTCTCCCACATTTAGGGCCCAGGGACAGCTCAGCTGGGTGGGGCGAGGCTCCGAAGCAGCATGGCAGGGAGGAGGGCGGCAGTATCTGGGGTGTGGGAAGGCCAAGCAGCCGGAGCAGGAGTCCCTCTGTGTCGCCTGCACACGCTGCCTGACGCAGAATGTGAGCGGACTGGTTTCCCACGTGCTCCAGGTGGGTCCTCCTCGGCACGTGGTGCCCAAGCGGCCCTGCGG